GACACAGCTGGGCTCTGACTTTGCAAGTCTCTTACCAGCTGTGTGACCTAAGGAGCTTCCTCTCCTCTCTGAGTCTGGCTTCCTCTCTATACCTTGGTGTAAAACAGTAACTGTAGCCAAAACTGTTTCAAGTGTGAGCCCTGGAGAGCTAGACAGACCAGGATTGGAATCCCAGCTCTGCCCTTGGCCTAGCCGTGACCTTGAGAGAGACTTCATCTCCCTGGGGACTCAGTTTCCCCATCTGTAAGATGGAGCAGGCCCCACCATGGGACTTCTGGGGACACTTACTGTGAATGGGAGGAAGTCTGGCACAGTCGTCTCTGGGGTGGGGTGAGTGGTCGTAGGAGTGGGGAGGGGATTTTAGGCAGAGGGAGCCCCCTCCCTCGCACAGTTGGAGGCGTCAGGCTGGCGGGGGCGCATGCGCAGAGCAGCCCCGCAGCCCCTTTATAAGCGCTGAGGCGGCGCTGGGGCGAGCAGAGCGCAGGGCGCAGGGGTGGACCCGGCGGCGCGGATTGAGCCCAGCTAGCGTCCTTTGTGCCGGTCGACCGCCCCGGGATGCATTGGCGCTAGGAGCCAGGTGGGGTCGGTCATGGGGAGGGGGTTACGTTGAGGGAGAGATCCTACGGGATTCACACACAGCTCAAGACTGGGGAGGAGGGGCTGGGATCAGAGAGAAGCCCCTAGCGTGGGGTGGTGGCTCAGAGGGGGAGGGAAGCCTCGAGCTGGGGAGGGAACGCAAACTAGCAGAGGGCTTGAGAATGTCAGGGGGATTCGGATTTGGGGGTAAGGTTGTCTAGAGAATGTGGAGACGACCCTGCGATGGGGAGGGGCCGGGCTGGGGGTGGGTCTTAGAGCTGGGGAGGCACCGGGAACCAAGGTAAAGAAGGGCCGCCCCAAGTTTAGAGGTAAGAGGGGAACAGCACCCGCTGAGCATGGGACTCCGGAACAGGGCACCCCGTGTCTGAGCTGAGACACCCCAAGATTTTAAGTGGGGATTCCCAGTTTGCAGATGAATGCAGGATTCCAGGATGGACTGCAGCGGTGAAGGGGCTCCCCAGACCAGCCTGAGCCCGATAGAAGGGGGTCTGTACAAAGACTGAACCCCCATAGGGAAGGGGTGTCCTGCTGTGTCTCTGCCCTTTTGGCTCAGGTCTTGTTACCACATCTTGACTCAGGCAGGAGGCTCTGGGGGCGCTCCATCCCATGGTGCTTCCTGTTGTTTCCTGGGACCTAGAGTTGGGGTGCTGTCCCTTCTCTCGGGGAGCACGCTGTGTATCTGAAGTGAATACTAGGTGAGAGCCCCTTAAAACCCGCAGCTATCAGAGCACCCAGTCGCCAAGGGGGAGCTCCCCCCACACTTTCACATCTGGCCACGTCCTCGCCACTAGACACAGACCCTTGCCTCACCCCTTCAGTCCTCTCCGTCCGTATGGACGTATGTGGAAGTCCTGGATTGATTTGGGGGCACAGACACTAGGAAGGAAGGGGCTGGGGCCCTGGGCCCAGCCTGGGCAGGAGCGACCCCCATCCCTGTGTGCGGGGCTTTGTTCCTCTCGGCAGCATTAATGGGAGACAGCCAGGCTGAAGAGAGGGTTGGCGCTGGGCCCCAGCGGGGGTTGTGGGGGAAGGGCAGGGAGGGAAGCCTGGGCAGACCATGGGACCCCAGAACCCCAGCAGCCTCGCTGGCTTAGGGACATTCCCAAATGGAAGCTGTCCCCCAGGAGCTAGGGACTTGTGTGTGTGTGTGTGCACGCATGTGTGTATGTGTGTGTCTACCCCATGCTGGGAGGAGGTAGATGCTTATGGTGTCCTCTGTGAGTCTAATGTGACCAAGGTTGTGTCTTTGTCAGGAAACTTGTGCCGGAGCCACATCTCCCGGTTGCAAAATGATGTGTGCCCACCAGTCACCAAAGCCACAATTTATCCAGTCTGGTCTGTGCCAGGGGCTGGCAGCTACATGTGTGAGTGTGTGTGAGGAACTGTGTCTGACAGAGTGGCCTCATCGAGGGGTTTCCGTGGGGAGCCTGAGACTGAGGGTGTGTGTCTTTGTGCAGAAGACATGCTGCCTGCCTTGTAAGTGCCCATATTGTCTCTCTTTGTTAATGTCACTGTGAATCTGTGAGTGTGAGTCTCCAAGGCTCTGAGCCTAGAATGTGTGGCTGTGTATGTGTCCCGTGTGTACAGCCAGGTCCTCTCCATGTGATCGGCAGTGTGGACCCTGGGTGGGGGAGCGTGAGATATGGTCTGTGTGCAGAATTGGGGGGCTAATTGGCAGGGGAGACATTGGCAGGGGTTCGGGTCTCCAAGGGGCAACCAGGGCTGATTTACTGAGCCTGGCTTCCTTTCTCCTCCAAGGAGTTCCATGCGTTGAACCCATGCACACAAATACACCCTGACTCCAAGGCCAGTAACACATACACGTGTGTGCTCATAGCCTCTGCTAAGCATTACTGGTGCCCACACACCCAGAGACCACACTTGGTCCCCCATGCCCCACGCAGCACACATTGCCACTGTGGACCCTCATACACGGTCCATACCACAGAGCGCATCCTCGCCTGGACAGTGCCTCGATGCACAACCAGGTGCAAACACGCAAAAAAACGCCTGCTGGCAAACTCAGTGCCTTCTGAGACAGGAGGTGAGTGTGAGGGAGGAGGAGACGCGCGCGCGCACATACACACACACACATCTCTCTCTTTCTTCCTGGCCACCCCTCCCCCAAAGCCCCACAGGCCTCTACTTGCATATGTATGAGACTCATGCATTATTAATAAGGGGACAAGCCCCAGACAGCTGTGTAAATGCTCACCTCTGGTGGCCCTGGGGAAGAGGCATTTTAAGAGAAAGGGTGTGGGTGTGTGAGGGTGCCGTTGAAGGGGATGGGTATGTGTGGGAAGGTGTGTGTGGCAGGACGAGTGTGCACCTGAACCTGTGTCTGTCACCTTGTTGTATATTTGAGTGTGTACACAAGCCTTTGTGTACAAGTAGCTGTTGTGTAAGTGAACATTTCTTAGGCTTCACAAGTCAGCTCATTCCATTCTCCCAGTAACACTCTGAGGTCTGTGCTGGGTGAACCCCATTTTACAAGTGGGAAACTGAGGCACGGAGTGATGAAGCAACATGTAGGGAGTAGAGACAGGCCTTGAAACTAGTCATGAGGATATAGTTTGAGCTCTTAATCTTACAAAGTGTGTGTGTGGAGGGGTGTGTGGTTGTGCATGTGCATGAGAGTTCTCTGTACTTGCCCCCTCCTAAGGCTTCCCAGGGGGCATTAGTGGTAAAGAACCCGCCTGCCATTGCAGGAGACGTAAGAGACACGGGTTCGATCCCTAGGTCAGGAAGATCCTCTGGAGCAGGGCATGGCAACCCACTCCAGTGTTCTTGCCTGGAGAATCCCACGGACAGAGGAGCCTGGTGGGCTACGGTCCATGGGGTTGCAAAGAACCAGACGGGACTAAAGTGACTTAGCATGCATTCACACAAGGCTCTCCTGGAGCAGGCACAGTCCAGGGTCCTACCCCACCCTTTAATACCATCCAGGACTTGAGCTATCAGGGGACCCTGCCCCGCTCAGGGTTCTGAAAGGGAGAAATTAGGACAGCCAGGGATGGAGGTTGAAACTGCTGAGGCTTACAGGTTGGTAGTTAGGGACACCATACCAGGAGCTGACCTCTGCCCTGCTGTGCAGTCCTAGGCAAACCACTCACCCTCTCTGGACCCCGAGTCACTGCCTAAGAAGGCAAGGGGAGTGGGCAGTGCCACTGTGTTGCCGCCCCAAAGTTCAGCACCACGGACAGGTCCCCGGCCTGCCTTCCTAAGGGGCCTCTGAGAGCTGTAACCCGGCCGGCCCCGCGGTCTCCCCCAGGACCCTATTCCGGACTTCATCCACACTCCCCTACTCAGGGCTATTCTTTTATCAGGAAGAGGGTGCAAGGGCTGGGTTTATAGGTAATGTTCTAACTTCCCATCTGTCCTCACCTGCTGAGGCACATGGGTGGGGGAGGGGGACACCGGGAGGGGGCTTTCAGAGGAGTGGGAGGCTTTAGGGAGGAGCCATACCCCAGGGTTTCTAGTCTCTGGAAGAATGTGAAGTCTGGGAGGACACGCTGTGTCCCAGTGGGTGTAACGGGCTTTGCTTACAGGTAGTGCTCCGTGTTTGTGCATTTTATGATCATGTGCCACAACCTCTAGAGAAGTCTGGACCCACAACAGGAGTTTCTCTGCGGATCTAGGAGGCCTCCACACCAGTCAGTGTGAATCCAGAGGGAGGATGGGATGGGCAAGGGCGAGGCCCCTTCCTCCAGCTGGGACTTGGCAGCCCTTCAAAAATCCCAGAAACCAAGAATAGAATCTTGGCGACAACCAGATCCTGGAATTGAAGCTGAGAATCGTGTCAGTCAGCAAACCCAGATTACAGGCTGGATTGGAGGCCAGCCTGCTGCCAGAACTGGGGACCCCAGACAGACTAGACTGGATGTTGCCCTCTAGGAGCCCCCGGTTTGATTTAGGAGGCCAACTTGAAAAATGGGATTTTGATCTTGGCTGTTAAAGTCAATAATAGTAACAGCTGAAATTTACCCCTTCCTGCCAGGCAGTGCTAAGTATTTTGTGTGTATTGGCTGTATTGACTTATCTATTCCTTCCAACTACCTGATGTTAACCCCATCTGACCTGCAAAGAAACTGAGGCACAGAGAAGCTAAGCTGTTTGCTCAAGGTCACACAGCAAGGAACAGGCAGAGAGACAACCCCAGTTTGATTCACCCCAGCACTAATGCTCTGACCATCAGACTTCACTTGCTGGGGTTCTGAAGTTGGCCCTGGACTTGGATCCTGGATCTGCCCTTGCTTGTTGACTGTGTGACCTTGAGTGATGCATGGCCTCTCTAGCCCACATTTCCAGATCTGTAGAAAGGGAGGAATTGGTCCTTTCATGTCAACTATCTAGAAAGGATGTACTCACCCCTTACTCCCTCTCCATCTTGTTTCAGGTCCAGGATGGGGGCCTTGTTTGTCTGGGTCTCAGGCCTCCTGACTCTGCAGATGCTTCTCTTTGTGGCTGGGGAGCAGGGTGAGTTTGCTCGTGAGGTGGGAGAGGCTGGGGTCTGGAGAACTGACAAGATGGGGCAGCCTTTTAACTTGAGAGTCTTCTCCTGCTGGTTCTCTGGCTTGGTCTGGAGAATAAAATGAAAATAGATGAAAAAAGTCTTTGAACAGTCAAAAGCGAACAAGACACCTGAGAGGTTATTTTTAGTCATTGCCAGCAGAGGCTAGAGGTTTCCGCCTCTCACTGTTTTGCTGAGATGAGCTGAAGAGAGGAAGAGAAAAAAAAGAAGAGGGAGAGAGAATAGTATGAAGATTGATTAGTGATGCCTGCCATGGATGTAGCAATAGAAATAAAACCCTATATGCCTCCCTCTGGCATCCCCCCAGTGGTGGTCAAAAGGCCAGACTTTAGAAATGCCTCCTGATTTGCTCTGTGGCCTTAAGCAAGTATGATGTCTGTGAGCCTCAATTTCCTCGACTCCCCCAGAAGAGGATGAGAGATGGCTACCTCTGCAGATGGTTATGAAAATCAAATGAGCTGATTGCTATTTATAAAGTGCCTGGTATATAGAAGGTACTCCACAAACACCGTTTCCCTTCCGATGGTTGCCTCTCATTTAACTTTTAGGGAAACCATGGCTCAGAGGAGAACACTGACTTCTCCATGGCCACGTCAGTGACACTGAGAGTCAAATCTCTGGTCTTCAGGATCTGGACTTTGAGTGGAGGCAGAACTATGAAAGGATTCAACCCGGTTGCCCCTCTTCTGCTCACAGATTGGGCTGCAGATCACAGATCTGTGTACTGCCTTGTGATGTTGTATAGGCAGCCTAACCTCTCTGGCCTCAGTCTCCCTGTCTGTAAAGTGAAGAAAACTGCAGTCTCTGCTGGTCCTTGCCTCTCAATCAGGCCCTCTCTCCACCTTCTCCACCCCAGGCCTACAGCACACCACCGCAGCTGCAGCCACTGCTGAGAAGGGGCTCCACATGCAAAAAGTGGGGTCTGGGTCAGTCCGGGCTGCACTGGCAGAGTTGGTGGCCCTGCCCTGTCTCTTTAGCCTGCGGCCACGGCCAGGTGCAGCTCGAGAAGCCCCACGGATCAAGTGGACCAAGGTGCGGACTGCATCAGGCCAGCGGCAGGACTTGCCCATCCTAGTGGCCAAGGACAACGTGGTCCGAGTCGCCAAGGGCTGGCAGGGACGTGTGTCACTTCCCGCCTACCCCCGGCACCGGGCCAACGCCACATTGCTACTGGGACCACTGAGGGCCAGCGACTCCGGGCTCTACCGCTGCCAGGTGGTGAGGGGCATCGAGGATGAGCAGGACCTGGTGCCCCTGGAGGTGACGGGTCAGTTGGGGGAAGGGGAGGGGCCAAGGCTGGGACGGGGAAGTGCACTCACTGAATGTCATCTTAGAAATCACTCCTTGGGGAACTCCCTGGTGTCCAGTGGTTAGGACTCTGCACTTTCACTGCCAAGGGCCTGGGTTCGAGGGCCTGGATTCAGCCCCTTTTTGGGGGGTTAAGATCCCACAGGCAAAAACAAAAGAAAGAAAGAAAAACTCCCTGAACAATGATTTGCTCTCAATTCTGATAGACTCATGGAGAAAGTCTCTGTGCACACTCCTCTGTCTTTAGCGTCTCTGTTCTTTAGCTAAGAGAGAGCAGCCTCTGACTACTCTCTTACAGGCCACAACATTTCACGGGATTTCACAACCTGCAGTCCATGCCATGGCCGTCTGCTTTCACATAAGGCAGAGGATATTGGTTTTGTATTTAAAATAGGAATACAAATTTCCTTTTAAAATAAATATATGTTTTTTTTAAAAGGGAAGCTCTTTTTAAAAAGTCGATTGAAAATATATATTAAGGGGACTTCCCTGATGAGCCAGTGGCTAAGCCTCCACACTCCCAATGCAGGGGGCCTGGAGTTTGATCCTTGGTCAGGGAACTAGATCCCACATGCCAAAACTGAAGATCCTGCATGCTACAATTAAGAGCTGTGCAGCCAAATAAACAAATAATAAACATTTTAACATGCAGGTAGAATTCATTAAAAAATTATAAAAAGGAAATATATATTAAGGAAATGATAGTCCTCAGATATCTGTTTATCCAATTCCTACATTAAATTCTTTCTGTTGAAATATTCAGTGTAGTTTCTGTTTTCCTAACCAGTCAAGATGAACAAGGCAAACAAATATATATTTTTAAATTATTAAACCAAAGTCCTAGAAAAGGGCATGACACACAGAAGATGCTCGATAGATATTTGAGCACTGAATCAATGAATGGATCGTTGTGTGGAGAACACCCTGTGGACGCCTACTGGGAAGTCAATTTCCCTTAACCTATGTTGAAAAGTGGAAGCGGAAGTGTTAGTCACTCTGTCCTGTAGCCTGCCAGGCTCCTCTGTCCATGGGATTCTCCAGGCAAGAATATTGGAATGGGTTGCCATGCCCTCCTCCAGGGAACTGTCCTGACCCAGGGATCAAACCCGGGTCTCCCACATTGCAGGCAGATTCTTGACTGTCTGGCCCCCTGGGAAGCCCTATGTTGGCCATGAGGAAAAGCCCCTGCATCCCCCTGTTCTGGAGCGCAGTCTTTCCACGCCCAACAATGTCTCACTGTGTATTTTATGGGGTCAGACAATCATTCCCTTTCTAAGGCCTTGTTCTCAAGACGATAAACCTCAAAGAACGCAGAAAAGTGATGAAAGAAGGGAATTCCACCTCTGGGTTTGTTTAGTTCATTCATTCTACCAGACATTTATGGAGCAGCTACCACATGACAGCCTGGTGCTGGAGACACAGCCTTGACTGAGACACAGCTTCTGCCTTCTGGGCGCTCTCAGTCTAGTAAGATGGAGCAAAATGTTTAATTTCTTTGTCTCGCTCAGCCATTTCTGTCATCTCTAAATCAGAATTTGAGTCACAGTGAGCTTATTGATGCTTCACATCTGATAAACCAGGATGTGAATTACATGTTACCTTCTCCAGGAAGCCGTCAGTGACTCCATTTCTAAACTGGGCAAGAACCACATTTGATCACCTGTTGCTCTTTGCTTCCTCTCTCAGTGCATGTACTTAGCTCCTAAAAGGAAGAATCTCTCTTTCACTCTTCTCCATGCCTTCTGTTACCTCCAGACCTTAACCCTGGCATGAAGAATGCTATCTTTGGAGTCCAGATCTTCCTGGATACAAATTCGGGCTCTCCCTTACACTGGTCATGTGGCCCTAGAGTTGTCCCTCAACTTTTCTGAGTCTTCATTTCCTCCTCTGGAAATGGGGATAAGCATAGGGTTGTTGTAAGATTTCAATGAGATAATGAGTATAAAGGGGCTTCCAGGATGGTGCTAGTGGTAAAGAACACACCGGCCAATGCAGGAGACTTAAGAGACCTGGGTTCAATCCCTGGGTTGGGAAGATCCCCTTGGAAAAGCCTTGGAAAGGGAATGATTGGTCAACCCCATAAAATATGCAGTGAGGCATTGTTGGCTCATGGCCAACATAGGGCTTCCCAGGTAGCTCAGACAGTAAAGAATCTGCCAGCAATGCGGGAGACCCGGGTTTGATCCCTGGGTCAAGAAGATCCCCTGGAGGAGGGCATGGCAACCCAAGCCATGGACATTCTTCTTGCCTGAAGAATCCCAGGGGCAGAGGAGCCTGGTGGACTACAATCCATGGGATTGCAAAGAGTCAGACACGACCAAAGTGACTTAGCATGTACGTACATAGTGCTTATAAATGTCTTTTACATAGCAAATATTTAACAAATTCTAGCCCTTTACGGCCATTACCAGTCTCCTCATCTGTAAAACCAGGGTGTATCAGTCTCACTCCCCATCATTGCCCCAGCACTATGCCTGGTGCTGAGTGAGCAGACTTTGTACAGGGCAGTGCAGGGCAGTCTAGGTGGCGCATTCTGTAAGAGGGAGGTCTGTGCTTGAGAATTTCAGCGTAAATCAGCTCCCTATCCGGGGTGTTTCTGCATAGGTGTTGTGTTCCACTACCGAGCAGCGCTGGATCGCTACTCTCTGACCTTTGCTGAGGCTCAGGAGGCCTGTCGTCTCAACTCAGCCACCATTGCAGCCCCGCGGCACCTGCAGGCTGCCTTTGAGGACGGCTTTGACAACTGCGACGCCGGGTGGCTCTCTGACCGCACTGTTCGGTGAGGGGGTACACAGGGTAGGGAGACGGAGAGCTAGCCCCTGGAGAAAGATGTTCCTTGGGAGCCCCAGGAGCACAGATCTGAGAGAGGCCGCCACCTTGTCTTGTCAGGTATCCTATCACCCAGTCCCGTCCTGGTTGCTATGGTGACCGTAGCAGCCTTCCGGGGGTGAGGAACTATGGGAGGCGAGACCCACGGGAACTCTACGATGTGTATTGCTTTGCCCGTGAGCTGGGGGGTAAGTCTGGGGCTGGTAGAAGGCCCCCTTCTCTGAGCCCCTTTATCCTTCCTGACCCCCATCCTTCCCTAAGTCCTTGCCTAGCTCTCCTAAAACTTCCCTCTCTAAACCCACCGCCAAGACCTGGACCCACCGGTTTTTCCTCCACTCCCTGAGCCTCTCACCTCTGTGCCCCTTCCCTTTCTCTGAATCTCTCCCCCTTCCTGCCCCCTTCTCCCTCTTCCTACTTCTTCCTCCTCACACCTTCCCCCAAGCCCCTTCCTCTTTCTGAAGCCCAACTCGTTCAGGCACCTCAGTTACCCCATTTCTGAAAAAAAAAGTGAAGCCCCCTCTTAGCACTGCCTGAGTGGCAATGAGAGTGATGCTGTGGCGACGGGGGCGCGCAGATGCGCAGCCTCCATCTCGTTTAGCCACAACCCCAATCCGGCCAGATCAGGGCTATTTGAGACGGGACCCCGTTCCCGGGCTCCGGGGGAGGGTCCCTGGGACACCTCTGACCTTCTCCCGCGCCCTCCCGCAGGCGAAGTCTTCTACGTAGGCCTGGCCCGCCGCCTGACCCTGGCCGGCGCGCGTGCGCAGTGCCGACGCCAGGGCGCCGTGCTGGCCTCGGTAGGACAGCTGCACCTGGCCTGGCACGAGGGCCTGGACCAGTGCGACCCGGGCTGGCTGGCCGACGGCAGCGTGCGCTACCCGATCCAGACGCCGCGTCGGCGCTGCGGTGGCCCAGCCCCGGGCGTGCGCACCGTATACCGCTTTGCCAACCGCACGGGCTTCCCGGCACCTGGAGAGCGCTTCGATGCCTACTGCTTCAGAGGTGTGTGTGAGGCCGCGCCCCTGGAGGGTGCGTCCCCTGGTGACCACGCCCCAAGGGCGTGCGCTTTGCTAACGGCCTCGCCCCTGGAAGTCTAGTGGAGGCGGAGGTCAGGCAGGGGAGAAACAGGTTGAAAACCTACTCCGCGGTGAGCCACGCCCCCAGGGGAAGGTCACATCCCTGAGACAAGCTTTCCGTAGGAGCCTCGCTGCTACTTAGGACAAGCCCAAGGCAAGCCAAGCTCTGCGGGGAAGTCCTGTTTAGTGTGTGGTCTAGGTCTTACAGGTGGCGCTAGTGGTAAAGAACCCGCCTACCAATGCAGGAGACACAGAAGACGAGGGTTTGATCATTGGATTGGGAAGGTCCCCTGGAGAAGGGCATGGAAACCCACTCCAGTATTCTTGCCTGGAGAATCTCATGGACAGAGGAGTGTGGGTCGCAAAGAGTCGGACACGACTGAAGCGACTTAGCACGTATGTCTCCTGAGATCTCTAAGAGATGATCTCAGACCTCTGGATGGAAAGTTTCTTGCCTGGAACCTTGCACAGGAGCACCCGCTGGGAAGGGATTAATGCCTCGGCTAGCCACGCCCCCTAAGCAAGGCCACGGCCCCAGGGACAGGACCAGGGGATGACCCTCGCCCTTGGGTTGGTTCCACACCCTCAGAAGCCGCCAACCTCAAATTCAAAGGAGCTGAGTCTTATGTGAAAGGGCGGGGGTGGAGGGGAATCTCTTCGTAGGGAGGCCATGACCATTAGGCGCTTTCTCTCCCTGGGGAGGAGCCATGCCCGGGTCTGACCTGCCCCCCTGAGAGTTGGCGCTGCCTGCGCTTCACCCACCAGCCAAGATGTCTCTTGACCCTTTACTGTGACCAGTTGACTCTGCCCTTGACAGTGGACCTGTCTGAACAATGGGGACGAAAACTTTGCACCTCCATCTCTCAGTCAGGGGGATCCCAGAAACAACCCAGAGAGTCAGAGGAGCACAGAGATACGAAGATCTGTGCTGCAGCATGCTGGAATTATGGGTAGACTTCAGGCAGGACTTCCCAGCTAGGCCCTGGCCCTAGCACAGCCTCTTCTGCTTTCTCCCACAGCTCATCACCCCACATCCCAACATGGAGACTCAGAGACCCCCTCATCTGGGGATGAAGGGGAGATTCTGTCGGCAGAAGGGGCCCCTGCTGGAGATCTGGAGCCCAGCCTGCAGGAGGAGGAGGAGGTAGTCACCCCAGACGTCCAGGAGCCTCTGGTGTCTAGTGGGGAAGAAGAGTCTCTGATCTTGGCAGAGAAGCAGGAGTCTCAAACGACCCCCAGCCGTGCCCCTGGGTTCCCCACATTAGCCTCAAGTCCTGCCCTGGAGGCTGAGGAGGTGTGGCTGAGCACCGTGGCCCCCAGCCCCAGCAGCGTGGAGGCAGGCACTGTGTTGGGCACGCACGCAGAGACAGCCCCAGCCAGCACCACGCCCAGGAAGAGGGAGCGCTTTAAAGGGTTGAACGGGCGCCACTTCCAGCAACAGGAACCCCAGCAAGGGCTGAAGGGAGCACTTGAGGCCAGCGTCCAGCCCCCGACCCCAGAGGCTACTGGGAATTATGTGGAGCCTCCCATGACCACTGGAGCCACAGACGCCTTGGGGAGTGGCCAGAGCCAGAGCCCCTGGGCTGTGCTGACAAATGAGGTGGAAATGCCCAGAGCTGGTGAGTGGGGTCCCTGGGGGAAGTGGGACCTGCCTGGGGATCTAAGGGAGGCAGGGGAGGAGGTTCCGAATCACAGCTGGGTCCCCTGGCCTCCCCAACCCTCTGAAGACCCCTCTTCCTCAGGCCCGGAGCCAAGGAGACCATCAGGAGAAGGAACTGCCGAGAGATAATTATAATAACTGTTGATATTGTTTCAGGTTCCCTTGGTGGCAGGAGCCCCCAAGAGCCCTGGCTGTGGCCCCCAACCGTGGTCCCGCCCATCATCCCAGACCCCAGCAGAGCCCTTGACCTGGAACTAGGAGAAGCCAAGCGCTTTAGTGTGAGACCAGTCACCTCCGACCTGCCCTGGTCCCCCTCGGAGACCACTCCCAACCCCTCCAGTGGCCCCAGCCCTGCCCCCTGGGAGGCTTCTCCCGCGGTCATTTCTCCAGACCTCCCTGTGATGGCCATGCTTCGCGCCCCCAAACTGTGGCTCCTATCACAGGAGCCTCCTACACCGCTCCCCACTGAGGCCAGTGGAGTCAAGGGGCATAGTGTGGCCATGGCCGCTGCCCCGCCCTCCCCTGCCTCGGAAATGGAAGCCAGCCCACAGGATCCCATCCATCCAGAAGTGTATTCCCTGCCCTCCTCCTCCGGCCTGGCAGGACAAGATGGAGAGTCCACATCCCTGTCTCTCAGCGGCCACGGAGGAGGAAGTCCTCCGGCCCCTTCACAGGCAGCCATAGACACACAAGCTGGAGCCAGTCCTAATTCCCCTGGAGTAGACTTTGGAGAAACGAGGGGGGCCAGCCCTACTGAGCTCAGCAAAGCTGAGCACCCTGGATCCAGCCCACAGGCCTCTGTGGACGGGAATGTGGGGGCAGATATCACTGTTTCTGAGACTGCCACTGAGCCCCTGGGAGCCAGAGGCGTCTCGGAGTCTGAGTCTGGGGTCTTCAACACAGCAGAGAGTCCCACCTCCAGCTTGCAGGCCTCCATGGACAAGATGCAGGGAACGTGGGCCTCACTGCACAGGGGAGGGCTGGACCCCCACTCCCTATCTGCACCCTTGGGGGTCCCTGAAGTCTCCTTGATGCCCAACGTCACCACCCCACATTCGGGCCCTTGGGCTGCTACAGATGGAGGAGTCACAGTGGATCCTATGGATTCCACAGTCACACTGGACACCAGCGATGCTGGCGGGTATTGGGAACCTGGATCCCACATGATCGAGGGAGCCCAAAGCCCCACCTTGAGCCCTCAAATGGCTGTGGATACAAGTGTGGTGACATCCCTCACGTCCTTGGACCTGGGGGACAAGGTCGGGGTCCTGTCCCCGTTCACAGTGGCCTCCTCAAGCTCCCGGCCCCACCCAGAGCCAGAGGGCCAGCTGGTGACCCAGGGAACACTGGGAGCCGTGGAGCCTCCACAGGAGGGCAGCCACTCGGGGGACCCCATTCTTCCTCCCTGGACGTCGACAGCAGCCAACAAGGACGAGCCCATTTCAGTTTCCTCAGGGGAGACTACAGTGCCGTGGGACTCCCCCAGCACCCTGATGCCTGCCTCCCTGGGCCCAGAGGAATTTGAGCTGGAGGTCCTGGTGGGGAGCCCAGGTGTGGAGAGCTTCTGGGAGGAGGCAGCAAGTGGAGAGGAGCCCGCCCTGCCAGGGACTCCTGCAAATGGGAGTGCGGAGGAGGGTGAGTTCGAAGCTCGTGGTCTCATCCAGGCCACTGTGTTGGTGCTCAGGGACCTGGGTTTGGGAGGAAGGATTGTCCTTGGTGCCTGGGAAGGTTTCTAGCAGGGGCTGGTGTTCAAGATGGGGGCTCATCAGACAGAGCTGAATTGCAGAAAGGGTGTTCCTGGCAGAGGCACCAGCCTGGGCAAAGGAAGGAGGTGAAGTTGTGTATGATGTGTTTTGCACACCGTAGTGGTTAGGCGATGATGAGTGGTTGGGCAGAGTTTGGTTTGGGGAATGAGTACCATCAGCAGATCATGTTCGTGTCCTCTTTGAGCTGACAGTGCTGGGCAAGGCTGGGGTCCTGCCTTCAGCGATGCCTCTGTCTGAAGATGAGGCTGGCACAGACCTCCCCCTAGGGGGGAGCAGAAGGAGGAGGCTTGGCAGGGAGGTCTTCTTGGACAAATGTTGAACTGCAGCTGAAATCCAGCGGTGCACATCTTGAGGGACCTCTTGCCACAGGGAATGTGTGTGCTGGGAAGGGTGGGAGTGGTGGGCATCACCCCCATTTTGCAGAAAGCAAACTGAAGCTCAGGGACATATGTCACTACCAGCCAGTCAGTGATCAAACCTCAAGTCCACATGTGCCTTAGTTGCTCTGTGCCCAGTGGAGTCCAGAGAGAGCCACCACCCTGTTCTCCTGAGGTCAGGTCTGCCCATAACTCAGTCTGCAAATTCCAGCCCTTTAGTTTTTAGGTCCTGTCATATTGAGCTTTTTTTTTTCAGTCAAGTGAGCTTTAAAAAAAAAGAAGCAGCTAATTAAAAGACACTTTTTCTGAGTTGCAAAACACTCTTATTAACACAATTGGTTTTACACTTGCTCCTTTTTTTGAAGGCAAAGTGTCATGGCGATGGAAACGGTGGATGCAGGGTTTCATCGCCCACCCTGTCATCTCTGGGCTGTGTCTGGGGCCCCATCTTCTTTTCTTAGATGCCCAGGAGGCAGGTGGACCCTGGGCAGGGGCACTTGCATTGGTAAAGGCTGATGATTATCGGTGACTGCCTTTGTGTTTGGATTATTTTGAGCACTTTACTGGAATCATCTTGGTTAATCTTTTTATTTTTTAATTAAAAAAAAATTTTTTATCTTTTGGCCACTCTGTGCAGCATGGAGGATTTTAGTTACCTGAGCAGGAATTGAACCCATGCCCACCACCACCCCCCCGCTGCCATTGGCAGTACAGAGTCTTAACCACTAGACCACCGGGGAAATCCTTAGTTGATCCTTTTAATGTCTTTAGGGAGCAAGTTCCACTATGATTCTCCCTTAATAGATGGGGAAGCTGAGGCACAGGGGAGTCAAGTGACTTGTGCAGAGTCTTGCAACTGGGGAATGTCAAGGATAAAGTCTGAATCCAGGCTGTCTGACAACAGTCTTTGTCTCATTAAGATGTTTATTTCACTGGCGTAAATAAAACAAAATGCCCTGAGGTTTCGGAGAGGGGGGTAGGCTCATCCTGGGAGGGGGCAGAGAAGAGACTGGTTGTGGAGGATGGGTAAGGGGAGCAGGCTCAGTGCCAGAGGAACCAGAGGAGGAATGGTCAGACAGTTAGGAGGGAGACCACGTAGCAGGGTGCTAAGGAAAGTGCGTTGAGAGGAGCCCCCAGGGCCCTGGCTGGATCTGTGCTGGACTTGGTCGGTTTTTTGGCTCCAGACTCAATCCATTGGCAGCCGGGGCGGAGGGAGGCAGCCAATGCTGGGGGAGACCCAGGCGCCTACTCACCTACTGCTTGCAGCAGAAATGCTAATGAAGCCAAAAATAAATGCAGCACCAGCAAGCGACTGAGTCACCGCCAGTCCGTGGGCAGGTGTCAGCGGCACGGGGCACCTGGTGGGGCTTACGCGTCCCGCCGCCTGGCAGCCCCACGTGTGTGCACACACGTGCCCCGGTGGCGCCAGGCACAGACATAGCCACAGGCCTCTCTGGCCATCCGTGAGGGCACAAGCCACCACCCCAGGGACAGGCTTCTGTCATTGCAGGAGGACCAGCGGCTGGCTACCTTTACTCAGTTAGCAAGCAACTGCTGAGTGCTGGCTGTATTCCAGGCACGAGGGTGAGATCGAGTCAGCTCTGGAAGCTGACCTTCTAGAGCAATTCTCTAGAACTTTCCTAGCGGTGGAAATGTTCTCAAGCTACACTGTCTAGTACGATAGCAGCCAGCCACTTGGGTCTTCTTTGTTGCACACAGCATCTTTGCTGTGGCACACGGGCTTTTCATCCTGGCACACAGGCGTCCCTCCCATTGTGGCGGGAGGGCTCCGGAGTGTGTGGGCTCAGCAGTTGTGGAATGCAGGCTTGGTTGCCTGGCGGTATGTGGTATCTTAATTCCCTGACCAGGGATTGAACCTGTATCCACTGCATTGGAAGGTGGATTCTTATAACCGGTGGACTACCAGGGAAGTCCCAGAACTACAGTTTAATTTTTCTTCCATTTTACTTAACTTAAATAGCTAGGTGTGACTGCCATGTGGATCATCACCTCACTCGCGGGAGGCATGGATAAGAAATGGTGATCTTAATAAATTATACTGGAGGTTAGAGAGTAAGAAAGACAGAAGAGAAAAACAAAGCAAGAGATGAGGGATGCCAGTGGGCAGTTTGAGTTTTGGAAGGGGGTTAGGATGAAATCTGAGCAAGCCTGAAGGAGATTGAGGAAGGAGCCATACAGAGATCTGGGAGGACGAGCACTTCAGGCAGAGGAAATGGCTTGTGCAAATGCCCTGAGGTGGGCCTGTGATTGGTCCAGTGAAGGAACGGAGGCCCAGCATGGCTGGAAGCTGAGTAAGAGAAGGAGGGAGATAAGAATCAGGCAGGGAGATACTGGGGGAGGTTGTATGGGGCCCTGGGGGCTGAGGTAAGGATTTTGACTTTTCCTATGAGGGCAATCGGGAGTCATGGAGGAATCTAGGCAGAGGAGGGACGTGATCTGACTCAGGTTTACATGGGCTTCCTCACAGCTTTGCAGCTGTGGAGGGAACACCCTGCGAAGGATGAAGGTGGAGGCCAAAAGGCCAGGGAGGAGGTGCCTGCTTGGTGCTGCCTCTTTTTGTTTTGGGGCCCCAGACAAAGCAAAGCAGGAACAAATTCTGGGTGATAGGGGCTGGAAAAAGGGCTGTAAACTGGGCTTTCAGAACCCCGAAGGCCAGTTTTGGCACTTGTACTGTCCTGCTGTGTGGCTTTGATGTAGGCCCTGGGTCTCTGGGCCTTCTCTGAGTCTCAGTTCTAGCATCTTGCAGTGGAAGAGCTGACACTGCCCTGACAAGAGATGGGCGTCATCTGGGGTGCTTGGGGGTTCTTGCTGTGCCCCTCCAAGGCTCCAGGACAGAGCCCACCCACCGAGGTGTCTGGGCCCCGGAGATGGGGAGGGGAGACCCTCCTGCCTCCAGAGAAAAACCACTGAAGAATGAGAGAGGGGGAGAGGGCTTCACATTCACTCCCCCTGTCCATGGTAAGCAATGGACAAGAGGCCTCAAGAGGCCCCAGGCTGATATACACAGAGCCAGACATGGCATTATGGTCAGGAATGGAGAAGGATGAGCTGTTTTTATGGTTGTTTTGTAAATGAGGCGACAGAAATTCACAGAATTTGCCCAGGACTTCCTAGTGAGTGGCAGAGGCAGGTATTGAACCAGACTGTCTGACTGCACACCCTATGCACAGTAACAGCTATAAATCACCTCTTCTCCACATTGTAACCACTGAGCCACAAGAATGAAGGAGATGATGGTTCGCACTGGTCCCGGTGCTGTTCATTCCCCATGTAGAATCTATGTCTACTTTGCCCTTGAAGTATGAGAAGCACAATGAAAGTAGAGTATGTCTAGAAGGGGGGATAAATCAAGGAGAGCACTTAGACCATGCTCTAGGAGACTTTGTAAGAGAAGCTGAAGGAATCCCATTCTTTAAAAAAAAAACACAAACAAACCTTGGCTTCTTTTAAATTTATTTTATTTTTCTTATCTTTTGGCCCCATCACACAGCATATGGAATCTTAGTTCCCCAACCAGGGACTGAACCCGTGCCCCCTGCGCTGGAAGCGTGGAGTCTTAACCAGGAACCCCATTCTAGTTCAGCCCAAGGAAAGACTTTGCCATAGGCAGCGCAGCCAACAGATGCTTTGTAAAGAGTATTTTCTGGAAACAGATCCCTGGAAAGAGTAAGCTCCTTACAGGGTCACCCGAGAGGAAGTTAGCAATCACTTACTGGGAAGGTACAGAGGGGACTCCACAGAGAGGGACTGAACAGAAGGGCCTTTCGAGGTCTGAGTTCTGGGTTCTGTGAGAGGCTGGCCTGATGGCCTGACTCCTTCCGACCCTGCCTTTCCCTCCCACAGTCCCCTTGGATCCCTGTGAGAACAACCCTTGCCTGCATGGGGGTACCTGTAGGGCCAATGGCACTATGTATGGCTGCAGCTGTGACCAGGGGTTTGCTGGAGAGAACTGTGAGATCGGTGAGTACCGTGGAATCAGGATGTCCCAGCAAATGTCTCCATGACGGATCAGGGGATCACAAGAGGCTGGCTTCCAATGCTCCTTTCCCCTCCCTCACTCCTTGGGTCCAGTACACCAGCCCCATCACCAAACACCTGAGCTCTCATTCTGGGGGCTGAAGCTCTGGGGTGCTGCCTCCCATTACTACCAGACAGAGGTAGGGGAGGGGAAGACAAAGGGATGGTAAGGTTCAGACTCCCACCCCCGAAGGGCCCCTGGGGATCTCCTACCCTCTTCTGGATGGGCAGGGGTATAGGCACCACCACCACCAGAACTGTTGCATGCCAGCCCAAAAGCCCTACACAAGACACACGCCAAATTATGAAATTATAAAAATAATTATAAGTGACATAATTTCTTGAGCTCTTCCATTGACCCTCTATGCACAGCCACCACTGAGGTATTATTATCATCACTTTGCAAAAAAAAAAAAAACTGAGTCTCAGACAGGGAAAGTGACTTGCCTGGCATCGTAAGTGCCTCAGGCACTATCTACGCAGGGATTGGTATAAGTGTTCAGTGGATAACTCCCTATTCCTGCACAAGGCTTTGTCACTGTGCAAATCCTTGAAAATGCTCTGGAACTCAATTTCCGAGGTTCCACATTTTGAAGACCCTTCAGCTCCAATGTTCTATGGGCCTGTTTGCCAGGCCCACCTTCACTGTTTTGGAATCAGGGGGAACATTCTGCACATTCTCGCCTTTAGCTGGTCCAGTGGCATCTGCTCTCACTGACGCAAATATGTCACTTGTGTGAGGCTCCACTCCCTTGGCTGCCAGAGTCATCGGGTCATCAGTGCAGACCACTGCTGATGTCCTCGGGTCTGGGGTAGATGGGAGGGTCATGACTGCATCTTCTGCCTGGCTTCCTTGGGGACTGGGAGCCAAGGGGAGACTGACCTCTGACTGAGCCCCACCTTCCCCTCCAGATATTGACGATTGCGTCTCCAGTCCCTGTGAGAACGGTGGCACCTGCATCGACGAGGTCAACGCCTTCGTCTGCCTTTGCCTCCCCAGCTATGGGGGAAGCCTCTGCGAGAAAGGTGAGTCTCTGCCAAGATCCCAGAAATAGTACAGGAGCGGGGTTGGGTGCTGGGCCACAGGCTTCCCACACATGGAGCTCCAGGTCCCTGCCTCTGGTCCCATCGCCATGATTCAGACAGGAGGCAAATCTTTTCTTCAGATAGTCACATAACATAGAATTAACCTTTCCAGAGTGTATGATTCAGTGGCATTCAGTACATCACAATGTTGTGCAACCACCACCTCTAGCTAGTTCCAAGGCGTTTTCATTATCCCCAAAGGAAATCCTGTTCCCATGAGCAGTCACTCCCCCTTCCTCCTCTCCAGCCTCTGGAAACCACTAATCTACTTTCTGTCGCTATGGATTTGCCTATTTCATATGTTTACATACAAAGACAGTTATGTGCTATGTGTCCCTTTTTTATCTGACTTCTTTCTCTCAGCATGATGTTTTCAGGGTTCAGCCACACTGCAGCACATGTCATCGCTTCTTTCCTTTTTATGGGTGAATCATATTCCATTAGATGGGTTACGTTCTGTTTATCCATTCAGTCGATGGACATTTGGGCCCTTTGTGGCTAATGTGAATAGTGCTGCTATGAATGTTCACATACAAGTTTGTTTCAACACCTGTTTTCCATTCTTTTCTTCCTCTCCATTCTTTCCAGTGTACCCAGGAGTAGAACTGCTGGGTTATGGTAATTCTGTGTTTAACTTGTTGAGGAGCTGCCAGATTGTTTTCCAAGGGGGCTATGCCATTACATTTGCACTATCAATGCACAAGGCTTCCAATTTCCCCACATCCTTGTCAACACTTATTATTTTTGTGATTATTTTCTGATTAACGTTTCCTAATGATCATAATGTTGAGCATCTTTCCAAGGGCTTGTTGGCCATATCTTTGGGGGAGAAATGTCTATTTTGTTGGCCATTTGTATATCTTTGGGGGAGAAATGTCTACTGGAGCTTTTCCCCGGGAGGGAAATTTTAGGCCTTCTTGAGACCGTTTCCTGAGTTCCCACGATGTGGCCAGATCAGAAAAGGAGACATCAGATTTGGGACGAGAGGGGATGGGTGTAATGATCTTCCAGTTGAATCTCCACTTTGCAGCAGGAAAAAAGATGGGACTATGGAGGAGGGAGGTGACAGGTGATGGGTAGAGCAGGGGTGGGTAGGGGGTGGCCCAAGGGAAGGGATGGTTTAGTCCCACAGTGTCCTCAGATTGGGCCCCCCCTCTGGTGGGCTGGCTGCACTCACAGTTGGCAAGGCAGACCTCAGCCCGATGCCAGCCCCCTTCATGCTCTCTTTCCACCCCCCAGACACAGAGGGCTGTGACCACGGCTGGCACAAGTTTCAGGGCCATTGCTACCGCTATTTTGCCCACCGGCGGGCATGGGAGGACGCCGAGAGGGACTGTCGCCGACGAGCCGGCCACCTGACCAGCATCCACTCACCGGAAGAACACAACTTCATTAACAGTAGGGGCTCTGGGGTGGGCAGTGGTGGCCTTCACAGTCCCTTTGTCAGGGGATCCCGCTAGGGTTCTGAAGACGCCACCTTTCTGAAGCCATGTTCATTAATGCAAGCCCTGAAAGTGAAAGTGTTAGTCGCTCAGTCGTATCTGACTCTTTGCAACCCCTTAGACCATAACCCGCCAGGCTGCCCTGTCCATGGGATTGTCAAGGCAAGAATACTGGTGTGGGTTGTCATGCCCTCCTTCAGAGAATCCTCCCAACCCAGGGATTGAACCCAGGTCTTCCACATTGAAGGCAGATTCTTTACCAACTGAACCTCCAGGGAAGTCAATGCAAGCCCTGACCAATAATTAACTCAACTGTCTGTTTATTCACTTGTCAGTTCATTTATCCATTCACTTTATTCATTCATTCCCCAACTATTAACTGAGCACCTGTTATGGTCCAGGTACCATTCCAGGCACAGAGAAGCACTTTGTCCTGTCCTGAAGGAGTGAGGTTCTTACAGAGGATATAGGCAAACAAGTAAACATCTAATTAAATGTCTGAGCTTCCCAGCTGGTGCTAGTGGTTAAGAACCCACCTGCCAATGCGGAAGACTTAGGACGAGGTTTCGATCCCTGGGTTGAGAAGATCCCTTGGAGGAGGGCATGGCAACCTACTCCAGTATTCTTGCCTGGAGAATCCCATTGACGGAGGAGTCTGGCAAGCTACAGTCCATGAAGTTGCAAAGAGTCAGACATAACTGAAATGACTTAGTCCCCACTCCCCCCCACACACACATCCTATAATTTAACTGGTCTTAAGTGCACTGATGAAAATTAAAACAGGGCCAGGGGATAGAGGGTGATAGAGAAAGATCTGTGATGTAGGGAATGAGAAGAAGGCAATGGCACCCCACTCCAGTACTCTTGCCTGGAAAATCCCATGGACGGTGGAGCCTGGTGGGCTGTAGTCCAGGGGTCGCTAAGAGAAGGACACGACTGAGCAATTTCACTTTCACTTTTCACTGTCATGCACTGGAGAAGGAAATGGCAACCCACTCCAGTGTTCCTGCCTGGAGAATCCCAGGGACGGGGGAGCCTGGTGGGCTGCTGTCTATGGGGTCACACAGAGTCAGACACGACTGAAGCGACTTAGCAGCAGCAGTGGGGGATGAAATGAAGGTGAATAAGAGACTTAGAAAAGGCATAGCCCATAAATTAAATCCAACATTTATTGATTTCCTCATTATCCCTTCTGCCCTTTTTCATCCATTTATTTATTCACATTTTCCCCATCCCATCCCCTGTTAATTCTTTCATTTGTTCACTCCCCGGTTCACAGGTTTTTTCCCTCTGTGTAATCAAACACACACGCATCCAGCTGCTTTCTCCTCTGGACTCACCTGCGTGCCTGTCCAGCCCTCCCCAACGGCTCTCCTAGCTCCTGACTCATTTCTCCTAGGATCTGACTTGTCTTTGTTTTTTCCTCTGGCCTTTGGTTTAAGCCACAAGGTGTGGCAAGGCCAGGAGCCTAATCCCAGTCCTTTCTGTGCCCCAGCCCCGCGCCCCCGGTCCACCTGCCTCCGGCCAGTAACTTAGGCTGCGGGAGGCGTGGGGACCCAGCCCTCATGACCCCCACCCCACAGGTTTTGGGCGTGAGAACACGTGGATCGGCCTGAACGACAGGATCGTGGAGAGGGATTTCCAGTGGACCGACAACACAGGGCTGGTGAGTGGCGGGGCCTGCGGGCCTGGGTCCCTGCAGTCAGACCGCTGCCTAGAATGGAGTGATCTGGGTAAGGGCAGTGCTCGGACCCTCTGGCTTCACTGTGCTATCTTGCGCAAAGTTACCACCACAAGTAGCTACCAGAAGTCCTCCGTGGGGAACTCCCTGGCTGTCCAGTAGTTAGGACTCCTCACTTTCACTGCCAACAGCCTAGATTCAATCCTGGAATGAGGAACTAAGATCCCCCAAGCCTCTCGGTGCAGCAAACAAACAAATTGAAAAAAGAAAGACAGTGACTCTGAGATGCGTGATCTAGTTCCAGAATATTTTCAGCACCCCAAAAGGTAACCCTGTACATAGGGCCTTTCATTTTTTCTTTTATTTATTTATTCTTTTGGCCACACCGCATGGCTCATGGGATCTTAGTTCCCCAACTAGGGATTGAACCCAAGCCCTTGGCAGTGAAAGTGCTGAGTGCTGACCACTAAACCACCAGGGAATTCCCTATAGGGGCTTTTTAAAGATCATATATCAGATCAGGATTATCTGTGCTTCAAGCCCTCTTAAGATAAAAATAAATCTACATCTTCCTTCTGTGAAAACATTCTGGCACTTCCCCAAAATTTAAACCTAGAATTATCACATGACCCTGTAATTCTGCTCCTAGGTAGATACCCCAAAAAAAGTGAAAGCAGAGACTCAAACACCCGTGTTCACAGCAACACTAATCACAGTAGCCAGAACGTGGAAACAACCTTGATGACCATCCGTGATGAATGGATGAAGAGAATGTGATCCATCTGCATAATGAATACAATTTGGTCATTAAAAAGGAATTTAAAAGTAGTGATAGCATTGTATGAAAGGAGAGAAGGTTAGTATTCTCCAGCACCACAATTCTAAAGCATCAATTCTTCAGCGTTCAGCCTTCTTTATGGTCCAACTTTCACATCTGTACATGACTGCTGGAAAAACCAGAGTTCTCACTATATGGACCTTTGTTGTCAAAGTGACATCTCTGCTTTTTAATACCCTGTCTAGTTTTGTCATAGCTTTCCTTCCAAAGAGCAAGCGGCTTTTAGTTTCATGGCTGTAGTCACTGGCCACAGTGATTTTGCAGCCCAAGAAAATAAAATTTGTCACAGCTTCCACTTTTCCCCATTCTATTTGCCATGAAGTGATGGGACTGGATGCCATGATCTTAGATTTGTGAATGTTGAGTTTTAAGCCAGCTTTTTCACTTTCCTTCTTATCCTCATCAAGAGGCTCTTTAGTTCCTCTTCACTTTCTGCCATTAGAGTGGTATCATCTACATATTTGAAGTTGTTGTTGTTTCTCCAGGCAATCTTGATTTCAGCTTGTGATTCATCCAGCCTGGTATTTTGCATGATGTAAGTTAAATAAGCAAGGTGACGATATACAGCCCTGTGATACTCCTTTCCTAATTTTGAACAAATCAGTTGTTACATGCAAAGTTCTAACTGTTGCTTCTTGACCTGCATACAGGTTTCTCAGGAGTTGGTAAGGTGGTCTGGTACTCCCATCTCTTTAAGAGTTTTCCACAGTTTGTTGTGATCCACACAGTCAAAGGCTTTCACATAGTCAATGAAGCAGAAGTAGATGTTTTTCAAGAATTCCCTTGCTTTATCTATGACCCAACGGATGTTGGCAATTCTATCTCTGGTTCCTCTCCCTTTTTGAAACCCAGCTTGTACATCTGGAGGTTCTTGGTTCACATACTGCTGAAGCCTAGCTTGCAGGATTTTGAGCATAACCTTGTTAGCATGTAAAATGAGCGCAATTGTATGCTGGTTGGAACATTTTTTGGCATTACCGTTTGGGCATTACCCTTTGGCATTATGTCTTTGGGATTGGAATGAAAACTGACCTTTTCCAGTTCTGTGGCCACTGCTGAGTTTTCCAAATTTGCTGGCATATTGAGAGCAGCACTTTCACAGCATCATCTTTTAAGATTTGAGACAGCTCACCTGGAATTCCATCACCTCCACTAACTTTGTTTGTAGTGATGCTTCCTAAGGCCCACTTGACTTCACACTCCAGGATGTCTGGCTCTAGGTGAGTGACCACACCATCATGATGACCTGGGTCATTAAGACCGTTCTTGTGTAATTCTTCTGTTTTTTCTTGCCACCTCTTCTTAATCTCTTCTGCTTCTGTTATGTCCTTACCACTTCTACCCTTTATGGTGCCCATCCTTGCATGAAATGTTCCCTATCTCAAATTTCCTTGAAGGGACCTCTAGTCTTTCCCATTCTATTGTTTTCCTCTATTTCTTTGCATTGATCATTTAAGAAGTCTTTCTTATGTCTTGTTGCTATTCTCTGGAACTCTGCATTCAGTTGGATATATCTTTCCCTTTCTCCCTCACCTTTCGCTTCTCTTCTTTCCTCATGGTAAATGAGGAAATGTATATTCCTCATTGTAAGTCCAACTGTTTGTAAAGCCTCCTGTGTATGAACTGGCTAACTGGTGAGAACTTCTTGTAGAGCACGAGGAGCTACACTCAGCGCTCTGTGGTGACCTAACTGGGAAGGAAATCCAAGAGAGGGAGATGTGTGCACATATAGTGGGCCCGCTTTCTTGTACAGCAGAAGCTGCCACAGCAGTGTAAAGCAGCTACCCTCCAATTTTTAAAAAAGGCAAAACAAGAAAAAGCTCTGATAACATGCCACAATGCAGATAAAACTTCAGAACATTGTGCTCAGTGAAAAAAGCCAGACGTAAAAGGAGTCACATTCCATTTACATGAAATATCTAGAATAGACAAATCCATAGAGACAAGAAGTAGATCAGTGGTTGCCAGGGGCAGTGGGGAGCGGGGATGGGGAGTGACGGATTAATGGGTACAGAGTTTCTGTTTGGTGCAATGAAGAAGTTCTGGGAACAGAGAGTGGTGATGATTGCACAGCATTGTAAATCTAATTAATGCCAATGAATTGGACACTTTAAAATGGTTAGAATAGAAAAAATGGTTAAAATAGTAAATTTTATATTCTATATTTTTATCACAATTAGAGAAAAAAAGCCCACCTCTTGTTCTCTACCATGCGAACTGGCCCCTGCCCACTTCCTGACCACATTCTAACTGAATCCAGCGGCCCCAGCCCTCCTGACTGTGTTCTGCTCCTCAGACAGGACAAGTTCAGTCCTGCCTCTGGGCTTTTGCACTACCTAGTCCCTCTGCTTAGAGCTCTGTTCCCGGCCTGCATCAGTCTTATCCTTGAGTCTTCTGCTGTCCTACTGCCTCCTCAGGGAAGGCCTCCTGGACTTCCAGTCTGAAGTCCCCTTTTGTTCAACTGTTTATATAACAATGTGTGACCCATGTGGAAAACTGTCAGGGAGTGAGACAGAAGGCATGAGGGCCGGGGAGGAGGGCAGCACAGCCTCCCAGCTAGAAGAGGGTGAATCAGACTGCAGTGGCAGCCACCCTCAGGGAAGTTAGAACAGCGCTCATGGTAGAGGTGGGAACACTGAGTCCCTAAGAATGTGAGTGGTCCGTCCAGGGGCGTCCCACCGTGCTAGCCCCAGAGCCTGGGTCAGGATGCAGGTCCCTTGAGCACCCCCTGCTCCCCATTCTTACAGCAATTTGAGAACTGGCGGGAAAATCAGCCGGACAATTTCTTCGCGGGTGGGGAGGACTGTGTGGTGATGGTTGCACATGAGAGCGGGCGCTGGAACGACGTTCCCTGCAACTACAACCTCCCCTATGTCTGTAAGAAGGGCACAGGTATGCAGCTGGGCTGCTTCCCACCCCCTCTCCCCCCACCTTCCCTCCTGCCTGTCACTGATTCATTGTTTCGTCTAAGTTTGTGAGTGTAGGCGTCGTTCCAGCCCTGGTTTCACTCTTCACGTATGAGAGCGCCCATTCCCCCAACCTCTCCGACTCTGTGTTCTCACACTTCTTGTTCTTTGTTCATCTGAGTCCTGAAAAAACACTATATCATTGTTTTCATAGTTTGCATATGTTTGAGGATGAGAATAACCAGCTCTTTATATATTGATAAGCACTTTGCATGTATTTTTCCTGTAGCCTACCAGTTCATCTCCTTGCCTAATTTTCTATAGGTTCATTGGTCTTATTGATTTGTAAGAGCTCTTTACATATTAAGTATATATATATATATATGCGTGTGTGTGTGTGTGTTCTCATGTCCACCTTTCTCTTACACTTTTCTTCATTCTGGCTTCTGTTTCTTTGCCAGTTTTCATGTCCTTTCTTCATTTCATGTACTCGGATTATTCTTGTCTCCCATCTCCTTCATTCCCATCATGCACGAGAATTAAAGGGTGAGATGGTTCCAGGAGGTTCCTGCCCCTCAGAGGCTCCTGGTTTGGGTGGAGGAGACAGACATATTCACTCCTAGCCTTTCAAGGTCACAGCTGGGCAGAGGGGGGTACCTGTTGAGGCTTCATCTCAACAAGAGTTGAAACCAATTTGGCGCTGGTCCTGTCCTCTTCTCTAATGGGAAGTCCCTCTGTCCCCAGTGCTGTGTGGTCCCCCTCCAGCAGTAGCGAACGCCTCGCCCATTGGCGCCCGCAAGGCCAAGTACAATGTCCATGCCACAGTACGCTACCAGTGCGACGAAGGATTTGCCCAGCACCACGTGGCCATCATCCGGTGCCGGAGCAATGGCAAATGGGACCGGCCCCAAATCGTCTGCACCAAACGTAAGTGGCTTCCCCCAGACATCCCAACCCATGTTTCCAGCTGTGTATAGTCTCCAGTTAAACATCTCATGACTATACACATTAATCTGGCTGGCTGCCTGCCTGATAATACGACCTTGCCGATAAATGAGAACTTACCAGCCTACATGGTGTTCCCTCCATTTCCCCCTCCTCCAAGGAGGCCTGCTGCATCAGGCCTCCCACCTTTCACCGGCTGTTGCCATGTCTCTGTCTTCCTTTGCTTCCCTGCAGCCAGACGGTCCCACAGGATGCGGCGACACCACCATCACCACCAGCATCACCACCAGCATCGCCACCACAAATCTCGCAAGGAGCGCAGAAAACACAAGAAGCACCCAGCAGAGGACTGGGAGAAGGAAGAAGGGAATTTCTGTTGAAGAACCAGGCATAAGAAAGCACAACCCCCTTCCCACACCTCCCTTGGAGCCTTCACAGGGGAGACAGAGCCCAGAGAGAAACGAGAGGGTCCAGAAGCCCCTGAGCCCCAAACCACATCCCCGCACCATACATTCCCTTTTGTAAAAAGTTCCTCTCTCCTCCTTCTTACACACACAAGGTCCTCTTGTCAGGTGCAGCCATGTGTCTGAAAGATCAGTTCTAGCGAGGCTGAACCCTGGGAGCATCTCCCAGTGGAGGGAAGCACAACTGGCAGAGATCATTCTTTGCAGTGGTTTAATCTTTTGCTGGCAACGTTCATTGCCATTTGTGAAAATAAGGCTTTGATAAGGGTGCAAGAATGTCTGTTTGGATTTGCACTAAGGAATTGCTTTGACTGCCAGAATTTCAGATTAGTTAACTGTCAGATGTCCTAGGTGCAGGCTGAAGCCTTTAGTGAACGTCATTGGCTTTGGGAGTAGAATATTACATGGAAGCACACTGCTTGAACCTGATGACTGCTCTTCCTTCACCTTGGACTTCTGCCCAAGCTCGATCCTTAGTCTTGGTGGAGAAACTGAGTGTGGAATTTCTATGTACTGAATTCTAGGAATGTTTTTTTGAACACTGTCCCTCCATGCCCTCAGGGTTAGGGGTGAGAATAGTCAGAGAAATTTGTGGACAGTGAAGGGAATTTGTGTTGCTTGCTCTCCCAGGTCTAGTCCAGTGCTGAGATTTGGTGGTTCTGCATGTGTGGTGAATTTTATACACACCCATACACACACACACAGATGAGAGGATGTTTAGGGTTTCACAAGTCCAGATTTCTTCCCCCTCCATCTCTCAGGGAGACAAAGAACCTCCTTTGTAGACCAAGGAGGTGCCACGTTTTCTAGCTCAGTGCCCATATCCATCCCTCAAGCAGACCTTGATAGTGCTCCTGCCCTGGGTCCCATCCCTACCCTCACCCCATTCATTGCCTGGTGGACTAGAAATGCTTAAACCTTGAAGTAGTAACATCTACCTATGGTAATGTAGAGAGTTGTGCTGTGTTAAAACCGAAATACACACACACACATTTTTCTTTTAGTTTTTTAATTTTTTAAGTGGTAAAGAAATCACCTTGCCTTCCTCCCCAGAATCTACAATGTATAAAATGTCTCCCCAAGCCAGAACTCTGGATTCAGACATCAGCTTCTTGATGTCTGGCCAGGAACGATCCATAGCTTTTCCTCAATGTCCTTTGTCCACTCTCAACGTCTCTAGTTTGGGTAACATCTGTGGATTAGTGTTAAAAACCACAGTGGAGAATGGCCCTGTGCCGGAAAGAAAAATGAGCAAATATATGGTCCATCAAAGGGTTCAGTAGAGGAAGAAATGGGTTGACTGAGCCTATGTCCCTCCAGGGAAGTAATAATCTTAGATGACAACTGTGGGGTAGGTTCCAAGCTAAGGACTTACACACTGCCTCCTTGAATCTTCTCAACAGCCCAGGGACTTAGGAACCATTATTTCCCCATTTTACAGAAGGCGTATCTGAGGCTCAGATAAGCAAAAGGCACTGGCTTGTGAGACAGGAATAAGGGTTTGGTCCTGCATCTGGCTGACTCCACACCCTGCTCTCTGTTGTGGGGAAAGGAATCGGAACATGATGATGCTCTAACACACAGGAAGATTTAGGAAAAGATTGAGAAGTCCAAACTAGACCCACATCCTTGACCATGGTCTTTAGTCTCTCCTGCTGTAGATGTTATCCACTATCCCACCTCACGGTTATTGTTGAGAAAGCCCAGGAATATAGGTTTGCCTTCTAACTTTGATAATTCCTCTTGGTTTAAGAAACATAATAACACATCTCAGTCATCCATGTCACAAAAGAATCTCCCTTTGTTTGGAGTGGTGGGGGACTCTAGAGGTGCAACCTTTTTGAGGGGTCTCGGTTTATGCTCCTTGCCCTTGGCCCCTTCAGCCCCTTGCCCTGCCCACACCCCAGCTCCATGGCAGGAGGGGGCTTCGATCTTTTCTAAAGTGGGTGGTTTGTCTTTCGGTCTTTCCCTTTGAGGTGTGCATGTGTCTGCGTGTGCCGCGTGTGTGGCATGCGTGTGAATGTGTGTGCGCGTGAACAGCTTTGGGTTCCGTTGGTTTTGCTGTCAGCTGCAGTGTTCTGTGGGTCTGTGGTATCTGACACTGTGGACATTAATGTACTTCTTGGACATTTTAATAAAATTTTTTAACAGTTCAACCTGCCTCTTGACACCTTCATTCAGTCATTCAGCAAGGACTTACTAAGCAGCTATTATGAGCCATGTACTATGTTGGATGTTGGGGAGATAGTGATGAACAGAACAGATGTGATGCCTGGGAGGCGGTCAGGGAAATCTTCCTGGAGGAGGTGAACAGAATCTAAAGGAAGAATAGTGTTAACTAGATGAAGAAGGCAAGAGAGTCTCAGGCACAGGGAAGAGTAAAAGTGAAAATCTCCTTGCAGAAGGGAACGTGGTTCATTTGAGAAACAGTAAATTGTCCATAGTGGCTGGAACAGAGTGGTAGAGGTAAACAGTGGGGCGATGTGAGGTCAGAGAGGCAGAGGATGTGTCACTCAGGGCAATATGGGCTGTATGAGGAGTGTGGGCTTTATTCTAAAAGCAATAATGACAAAAAGCAATATAAACAAGATCAAAAGGTAAATGCCAAGCTTGGAAACAATTTTCAAATCAGAGATAATGGAATTATTGCCTTAAAGAGCTCCTACAATTAAATCCATGTCCCTGGCATTGGCAGGGGGATTCTTATCCACTGAGCCACCAGTCCACAACAGAAAAAAAAGAAAACCAATAATCCAATAGCCAAATGGGCAAAGGATATGAACAAAAAGCTCAAAGAAAAGGAAACAACATGGCTGTGTTAAACTACAACATATGCTCGATAAAATAACACACAATTTTCAGATTACCAAGAAACACAAATTAGGACATATAAGTAAAAGGAAATAAACAATAAATCCTCAAGAGAGAGGTTTTGCATATTTTAATATTGACAATGTATTTGAACTGAGAATGATTTATGATTTACTCAACAGCCTGCAGCTAAGGTCAAAGTGGAGGATTATCAGCTTCATGTAACAAGTGAATTGCAAGTGACAACCACAAAGAGATATTCTTTTCCATCTAATAAGCTGGCCAAGGTAACAAGTGATGACATATGATGCAGGTGAAGGTGTATGGAAACAGGCAAGTGCATCTATTGTGAAATGAGTAAAAATTGCTCAGCTGTGTCTGACTTTTTGCGACCCCATGGGCTAATAGAGTTCATGGAATTCTCCAGAACAGAATACTGGAGTGGGTAGCCTTTCCCTTCTCCAGGGTATCTTCCCAACCCAGGAATCAAACCAGGGTCTCCTGCATTGCAGGCGGATTCTTTACCAACTAAGCTATCGGGGAAGAACCACATCGACTACTGATGGGCTATAAATTGGCCTCACCGCTAGGAATAGTTGGAAATCCTATCAAAATGGCAAGTCTTGACCCCTTGATCAAACAACACCTGATATTATCCTCCAGTTATACACACTGGTGTGATGACTGTGGTACTTATGACTAACAACAAAATATGGGAAATGTGCAAATGCCACCATTAGGAGACTGGTTACAAAAGTTACAGTGCATCCAAACAGCAGTGCCAATCTTCAGAAGAAGGCTGGCAGCAGAGGGGAGGGGATGTGATTTTTTTTACAAGCTAAAGGAAGCCAGTCCCCAAATATATTACTAATTAAAAAACAGAGTTACTTTAAAAGTATGTATGGCACACAAGTGTTCGTAGTCGTGTTATTCACAATAGAGATGGAAAATACCCAAATGTCCATTAATCAATAAAAGAATAAACAAAATGTGATATGTATATATATGAATATTATTCAACCATAAATATCATACAGAAAGGAGCCAGACACGAACGGAACACATACTGTAGGATCCCACTTATATAAAATATCAAGAATAGGCAGATCCACAGAGATGGTAAGTAGCTTGACAGCTGTCAGAGCAGGGAGGGGGGCAGGGAGAGATGAAGAGAGATTGCTTAATGGGTATGGGGTTTTCTTTGGGGTGATGAAAATGATAGAGATGATGGTTGCACAACACTGTGAATGTACCAAATGCCACTAAACCGAAGGCTTTAAAATGCTTACAGTGGTGAGTTTCATACTATGTGAAATTTTACAACATAAAAAGTATATATTGGGATTTCTCTGGTGGCCCAGTGGCTAAGACTCTGCACTTCCAATGCAAGGAGCCCGGGCTTTATCCCTGGTCAGGGAACTAGAGCCCACACTCCACAACTAAAGATCCTGCAAGCCACGATGAAGATCAAAGACCCCGCGTGCTACAACGAAGACTAGGCGCAGCCAAACACCTAAGTAAACAAATGAGAGTACACATTGCATGCTTTCATTTGTGTAAAAGTGAGGAGGAAAATGATACATGCATGATTCCTTGAATGAATATAAAACATCTTCCTAAGGACATGTAGGAAATTTTAGATGTCTCTGAGAAGTGCACTGGCTGCTGGAAGACAGGAGAGGGATGTTTTCCTGAATATCTAGCTTCCAGAGGAGCTCTACTCCAGGTGGGCTCTTGAGGACTCCACTCCAACAGTGCAGAGACCCAGCAGAAAGACGGTTCCTTTGATCCTATTGGTCCGTCAAAATCCCAGGGCCTGCATCTCATTGGTCTGCCTGGGTCCATGTCCACCCCTGGACCAATGAGGGGAGCCCAGGAATGTGAGTCACAGCATTCATTGTCCAGTGGAGTCAGCCCCTCTGAGTCATAGAATGAGAGAAGGAAAACTTAGTTACCCAGGGCACAACCAGGATGGGAGACCCCAAGGAAGAGAGAAAGGATGTCAGCAGGGAAACGGAGGGATGAAAGAAACCTCACGCACTCATCTCCAGAAACACGCCCCATTACCATTCTCCTATTCAAGGAAGCTAAGGCTCAGTTGGAGCCCACGGCTCTCTAACCAGGAGGCTGGACCCTGGCTTCAGATGAGCGGTTGGAATTTCTAGTTCTGTCCCATCTGATACTGAGGCACCAGCAGTTCAGTCAACCACCCCACTTCTCCAGCCGTATCAGACATTTACACTTTTTTTTCTCTTCTCCTTTCTTTACATCCCAGAAACTTTCACTACTTCTTAGCCCACACTCCTCTGACTCCCACCTTCACCCCACCCCATGGAAAATCTGCAACTTCTCTGCCTTCCTGATGCAGGAAGTCAACATCCAGTTTCACACACTTTGTTTCCAAGGGACTGAGAGGATCCGTTGGGTTGGTTAATGACCCAATTAGGACAGGGCTGAGAAGGGCCAGACCCATGGGAGGTGGCTTAAGGGAGAGAAGGGGGACATGATGGGGGAAGGGAGAGGAAAGAGAGATTGGGGAGAGGGAATGAATGGTCCTGAGGAATGAGAGAAGTTTCCCGACCAAATCATCACCAAGCCCCACTGCTGCCCCAGCTGAAAAACATTTTGTCTACCAACGTGCATTTTTGAAGTAACTACCCACCAACTGCCTCATTTTCTCACTCATCAAAAAAAAAAAAAAGAAAAGAAAAGAAAAGATTTATTGAGCCCCTGCTGTTAACACTTTGCACTCACTGGGACCTTAAAAACAGCCCTGGTACACAGGAGGGAACAAGATCAGGGGTTTCATCACTTGGTCACAGAGGCAGAATTCAAACTCAGGCACACCTGGTCCCCAAACCCACAGACAAGTTTCCTGGAGATGGATGTGACAATAGGAGGGCTCCAGGAAGGACCCCAGTCCAGGCAAGACCTCGAAACTGGGGACTCTAACAGCTGGGGTGGCCTTGTTCATGGACAGTCTCCCTGAGTGAGCTGTTAACACTGGGGAATTTGACTGGGTCCTGACTTGCTAACACAAATCGCCCCTTAGAACCTGGAGTTCAGAGTGGATTTTGAGGTTTACAGACAATTCCACCTCTCCTGGATGTCTAAGAAGGGAAATGTGGGGGTAGGGAGGTTAGAAAGGGAGAGAGGACCTCAGGGAGAATGGGGATGTGGTCCCAGAGAGGAAAAGAGCCTCGCGCCTGCACAGAACAAAGGGTTGGGGCACACCAGGGCCTCATTTGCTCATCTGGATGTTGCAAGGTTATCTCGGGCACAGCTGTTGTCGGGGATGTAGTTAGCGTGCAAACGGAGGGTAACCAGCAGCTCCAGAAGTCCGCCTGGAGCTGGGCCCGGTGGTGAAGGGGCAGCCATTAAACCCTGTGGAGCAAGTTCCCGCCCATGGTAAGAAGTTCCTGAGGACTGGGAAGTCAGCTGTCACGGAGATGACGCTGACAGCCTCCATGGTGACAATGTGGAGGGGCGGGCCCTACCTTCAAGAAAAAGCCTAAGGGGACAGGTGTTCCGTTATCTCAGAAACCGGAGTTTAGTCTGCAAGGCAACAGCTGCGGGGTCCAAGGCGCTTGGGGCGGAGCCTGGAGGGGAGCAGGGAGCTGGGGCGCCCGCGGAAAGGAGCAGCCCGTCTCCATGGTGAGCGCTGGGGAACCTCAGGACAGTTAGAGGAGAGGGTGGTCTCCTTGGCTGTTGGTCAGGGTGAGGACAGTGGGAGTGAAGCTGTAGGTCTCTGGGGTGAAGGCGGGTAAGACGGGAGACGTGTGGTATCCATGGTTACAGCTGGACGAGGGAGGCGCCGACTCCATGGGTGTGACTGGCGAAGGAAGGGCTGTGTGACTCTAGGCGACAGTGGAAGCTGGGCTGGTCGCCTTGGTAACGATGGGAAGCGGGGCAATGTGTCTCCATAGCAAATGACATGGGTTTTATGGGTCCCTGGGCCCGGGAGATGGGCTCTTAGGTGACGGCTAGGAGAGGGGCCCTCAGGTGAAGGCAGACTTGCTCCCTCAGAATCTGAGCGACGCGCCACGGGCACCCCGTCATGCGAGCCAGCTGGGGCATGTGAACCTGTATTAACGGTGACAGACGAGGGTGGTCTCCCCTGGAACTGAAGGGGTGGGATTGTTCTCCACAGTGACCTGGAGACATGACCTGTTATTCTGGAAATTTTGGGGGACTTGTGGGAGAAAGGGAGAGAATGGGAGTAACCGATTTCCAGGTTACCCTAGGGAAGAGGCCAGGAGCCCACAGTGTTCACGTGACCATGGCCGTGTGGTCAGCTGACGAACTCAGAGGTTTCTGGTTTCTCTACAGATGGTGGGTAGGAGGGCTCAGTGTCCAGGTGGCCTTAAGGGACCAGTCTACAGTCTCTGGGGAGATGCATAGGACGTGTGGCCAGTCTCCAAATGATCCCGGGGGTCCAGCCTCCAGGCGACCATGGGGTAAGTTCCAGAAGATTTCCGGAGACGTGTCCAGTGTCCAGGAGACCTCAGAGTCTGTTGGGCTCCAGGGATTCTCAGAGGGTGTGCCTCGTCTCCTGGGGAAGGTTGGGAGAGGAGACCCAATCCACGGTTCAGAAAAGGGAGGGCTTGGTTGATCTTCAGGGGACTCCGAGGGACTTGGCTCGGAGAACTGCTCAGACTCTGGGGACCTCAGAGGGTGCGGCCAGGGGTTAAGGACCGCAGGAGGTCTGGTCAACTTGCAGGGCACCGCAAGGGGCATGGCCAGTCTCCAAGTGTGCGGTCAGTCCACGCTGCAGGGCACTCGGCCAGCCGCCAAGCGCCCCCGCGGCCCACTGCCCAGGCCTAGACGCGCAGCGGGGTCCACGCGGCGGGGTCTCGGGCGCCTCCGGCCCAGCCGCCGCCTCCAGCCCAGCCCCAGCCCCAGCCGCCAGGGGCGGGGTCCGGTGCGCCAGGCGCGCGGTAGCAGTAGACGCCGAAGAGGCGGCGCGAGGCGTCGGGAAAGCCGAGGCTGCGCACACCCGGCCGGCGGCCGCCGCAGCGCGAGCGCGGATTCACGATGGGGTAGCGCGCACTCCCGTCCGCCAGCCAGCCCGCGGCGCACCGGTCCAGCAGCTGCAGCTTCCACGCGGCGAACAGCTGCCCAACCTTGGCCACGGCGGCGCCGCGCGCTGCGCACGCGCGCGCCGCTCCGGAGAAGGGCACCGGCCGCAGCGGCTTCAGGAAGAACACGCGCCCTGCAGAGGGGTGGGCAGGAGTGACTAGGGCTGCTCTTGGGGCTGGGCCTCCTCGGATTTCAGGACGCCCTCTCGCCTGCCGCCCAGGAAGCAGCCTCAGGGTGCAGAAACTTCACCCGCTCCTCTGCAGCCCGGGACCACGGCCTCGGCTAGAGCAGTGCTGGTGCCAGGCTTTGTTCGACTGCCGTGCCTTGACTATACTAGGGACCTCCGGGTGTGGATAGGTGTGGAGAGGAAAGGCGAGGAGAGAAAACAGCACAGTGGGAAGGAGTATTGAGACAGGCCTGGGGGTGGGGTCTCACGGGTGGGGCGGAGCCCGCGCCAGCGGTGGGCAGGACCTTCCTCCCAGGGGTGGGGCCTACGCACCCGGGAGGTTGGACGTGAAGCAGAAAGCATCGTAACGTTCTTCGGCGTTGTGGCGGTAGCCATAGTTGCGCACACCTCCGGAGGCTCCGCCGCCAGCCCCGGCGCTCCCGGTCCCGCCCAGGCCGCCGCAGGGCTCCCGGGGCTGGCTCACCGGGTACTGCACCGAGCCGTCGCGCAACCAGCCCGCGTTGCACCAGTCCAGACCGTCGCGCCAGGCCGCGTGCAGCTGCTCGGCCGACGCCAAGATGCCGTCCTGCTCAGCGCACGCGCGTTGAGCCTCGGCGAAGGTCAGCTTGTAGCGGCCTCCACGAGGGTGGTAAGGGAAGACTACACCTGAGGGGATACACAGGGTCAGCTCGGACCCCCCAATTCGCATCCACCTACCTGACATCAGGGGGGCCACCTTTCAGTCCATCCCTCCCTCTAGCGTCAGACCTGACCAGCCTTTCCCCAGCTCATATCCCTCATACTTCCTTTGCCTTCAACTTGGGATTCACTTGATCTCCTCTTTGACGCACTTAATCACGTCCACCTCCTTTCCACCCCTGGAGACCTTTGTTCGTGTTCTTTCCACCTTTCCACTTGTAGAACTCCTATTCATCCTTCAAAACCCAGCTCCCACAATCCTGCTTCTTCAGTTCTGTGTGCTTCTGACACAGAACAATTCTTCCAGCATTGGGACCTGCCTTCTGGTCAAGTTCTGAGCCCACCGAGCTGACTCCCCCACGCTGGGAGCCCATGAGTATTTAACCCTAGACAAAGAGCTCTTTGGTCTCCAGGATTACCCAGGACATTTCCCATTGTTTTCCCATCTACCTTCTGTTCGTTAACTCCTCCCTCGTCAGAATCACGGTCAACTCAGTTCACTAGCATTCTGTGTGTCTGTGTTTGGGGGGAAGACTTTGTGGGTGCAGATGCATCTCTCAGCAGTTGCAGGAAGGCTCAAACAAGAAGCAGAGAGAAGAGCTGAAGCCTGAGCCTGGAGTTTGAGTCTTGGCTCTGCCACTCACTGGTATGTGTCCTGGTCAAGGCTCTAACCTCTCTGAGCCAATTGCCCATCTGCTAGTAATAGCGTCTTCCTCAGGGGTTTTGGGAAAATTAAATGAGAGACTCCAGAGTATTCTTCAACTAAGCTCCTAGCACATAGAAAACACCCAATAAAGGAGAGCTGCTTTTGTTATTGTTGTTGTTCGCTCTTGTTGGGAAGTTCAGCAAGTGAGGGCTAAGAAATCTCTCCTAGAGTCTTCTAAGGTGGAGTGAGGAAAGCAACCAAATGGAAGGGAATTCTTCAAATAAAAACGCCACCTCTCAGCTCCACGGTCAGCCAGTCAAAGCAACCTATCTCCCAGGCACAGTGATTGGCTCTTGGATAGGCACATGATTCAAGCTGGGCCAATGAGAGACAACTCTGGGACTCTAGGTAACACTTAAAGGAAATGGATTGCCAAGCTGGGAGGGTGGAAGCCTGGCACTACTTTTTGTTTCCACCCAGGAAACTTGTCCAAGGAAAGACCACCCAAGAAGGCAGAGCTGAGGGAAGGATTCCTGACATGGTGTGGGTGCTTGAATTCTACTGCAGGGTTTCCCAACCTCTTCGCTATTGACATTTTGGATTGGATTATTGGCAGATTGCCTGTGTTTTATGGGATGTTTCACTGCATCCCTGGCCTCTCCCCGCTATATACCACCATAACCTGCTTCTAGACGTTGCTGATATCCCTGAGGAGCGAAATCACCCCAAATCACAACCATTATCCTACCCCACCGAGCTGCTAAATCCCTTCAGGCCAGCTTGACTTGGTTTCTGCCCTTTGCAATATCCTCTCTCCTCCCTTAGAAATGTGACGCCTCCTGCCCACGGTCTGGTCACCTTCCAGGTCCAGCTTGACCATGCCCGTGTCATCCTCCAGCTCGTTAGTGACCTCGCACTCATAGCGCCCGTAGTCCTGTAGCGTGACGTTGCGGAGAACCAGGGAGGCGTCGCCGGGCCCATCGCCCTGCAGCTCAGCCCGCCCGCGGTAGCTGCCAAACGCTCGGTGCTGGGGGCCCAGCGCCACGAAGACATCGGCAAAGGCCAGCGGGTCCACCACCTTGGTCCACTTGAGGCGGACGCCGTCGTGGCCATGAGTGGCTGCCTCGTAGTGGTAGCGGCAGGGCAAGACGATGGTGCCACCCCGGTGGCTGACCACCTGTCCCGGCGCTGTCTGCACCACCACCGAGCCCGACTCGCCCTCTGTGGACGACCAAAGAGGGTTAAGAAGCCCCAGGGGCGGGGCAGGAGCACCTGGGGAGCGGGACCCAGGGAAGGGGGTGTAGGAAGAAAAGTTAGGTGAGGGTCAGGAGATCAGAAAGGTAAAGGGGCTCCAGGAGGAAATTGGGAAGAGGGCGGGGACTCAGAGCGGGAAGAGCGGCGTGGGGGCTGTGGCCATCAGGACCGCCCAGCACCCTCCCTCTTTCCCGCTCCGCGCACCCGGGCGATCCCATTTGCCCACGGCCTCTGCGGGGCAAGATCCGCTTCCACGGCCCTGACTCACCCAGCACGTGCACGACCTTCTTCCGGCCGCGCTGCGCCTCCGCCGCGGTGGTGAGCAGGAGGACTCCCCACACAGCTGCCCAAAGCGCGCCGGGACCGAGGGCCGCCCGAGCACACACCTGGGGGCACCCAGCGCTCAGTCCAGCCTCCCTTTCAGAAGACTAGCCCCCTGCCCCCCGGCCTTCCTTTCTCGCCGCGAGGACTTCTTACACGCCCAGGTCCCCAACCAGCCAGGGTCCCAAGGAGAAGGCTAGCGGACCCTCCCCCCAGCTCCACTCTCCCGGGACTTCACGACCCTTGCGCAAAGCTCACGCCCCTGGACCCACTCTCCCTTAGTTCTTCGTGGGCAACCCGCCTGCCCCCACGAACCCCCGCGCCGGAGACCCTGAGCCCCGCCCCCTTCTCTCCCTCTCTCCGGCCCGGGCCGGGGACTGGGGAGGAGGGAGGAGGGGCGGAGGAGCCGGAGCAGCGGCAGCGGCAAGGTTATCCGAACGCCAGGAGACTGCAGCAAACCCGCGCAGGTGGGGGTGGTAGAAGCGGAGAGAGCGAGAGACACAGAAAGAAGGCGAGAACAGGAGAAGAGACTGAGACACATAGCAAAGCAGGAGAGATGGAGACAGCAGGAGAGACAGGCGAGAGGAGGCAAAGATGGAGAAGCGGAGTTACAGAGGGAGAGAGGGGAGAGGGAGTGCCGGAGGAGTAGGGTAAGGGAGGACGGAGAGAGACAGACGGACGCAGAGACAGAGACTGAGAGAGGGGGAGAGAAAAGGGACCGGGGCGGGGGGCGGGAGAGAGAGAAAAGTAGGGACAGACCTAGAAGAATAAGAAAAGGCGAGGCAGAGATGGAAAGAGTGGGAGAGGAGCTACAAGAAGGTGAGAGGTAGAGGTGGGAGAGCCGCGAGGGGGAGAAGGGCTAAGGAGGGAGACACTGAAGCAGGTACATTCAGAGACACAGAATCCCAGAGAAGGACCTACCAAACCCATGGTCCCACTCACCATCCTGCCGGTGCGGCCCTCGCCCAACGGCCCGCAGGCGCTGGGACTGTGTTCCACCCCGCACACCCGGGAAAGACTGGGCAGATCCCAGCAGACAGCGCAATCCTGGCGTCTGCCTGCAAGGGGAGCAGGGAGGGAAGGAGGCAGGCGGACGGGTGGGGGGGGCGTTAAAGGGGACATGGTGGCACCTGCTCTGGGGAGAGGTGGTGATGGGCACAGATGGAGGAAGCACCGCTCTGAACTGTGGGTACCAAGCCAGGTCCCAGCCTGGGACTGACCTGGGCCAGTAGAGGACATTTTCTGGGTCTCGGTTCAACCATCTTTTGAACGGAGGGTGGAACTGATGATGCCCTGTGTGGGCAGAAGGGCTGAGTAACCCGGGGAAGGGCTTGCAGCTCTCAGTTTCCCATCTGTCACTGTGTGCGTGCTAAGTCGCTCCAGTCGTGTCCGACTCTGTGTGACCCCATGGGCGGTAGCCCGCCAGGCTCCTCTGTCCAGGGGATTCTCCAGGCAAGAACACTGGAGTGGGTTGCCATCAAAGGGTCAAGGGCTCCAGCAGCCAGAGATGCTCACTCTGGGATGGGGACCCCACAACAGTCACACACCCTGCAGAGGGGACCTGCAGCAACGGCTCAAATCTGACTCTGCCCCTCACTCAATGCCTCACTTTCCACATCTAAGATATGGAGTTCTGGGTCTTTGGTGACAACCTAGTGGCTAGACATACTATCAGTTCAGTCGCTTGGTCATGTCTGACTCTTTGTGACCCCACAGACTGCAGCACGCCAGGCTTGCCTGTCCATTACTGACTCCTGGAACTTACTCAAACTCATGTCCATTGAGTCAGTGATGCCATCCAACCATGGATGGCATCCATCCCCTTCTCCTCCTGCCTTCAATCTTTCCCAGCATCAGGGTCTTTTCCAATGAGTCAGCTGTTTGCATGAGGTGGCCAAAGTATTAGAGCTTCAGCTTCCAATGAATATTCAGGACTGATTTCCTTTAGGATGGACTGGTTGGATCTCCTTGCAGTCCAAGGGACTCTGAAGAGTCTTCTCCAACACCACAGTTCAAAAGCACCAATTCTTCAGTGCTCAGCTTTCCTTATAGTTCAACTCTCACATCCATACATGACTATTGGAAAAACCATAGCTTTGACTAGATGGACCTTTGTTGGCAAAGTAATGTCTCAGCTTTTTAATATGCTGTCTAGATTAGTTATAGCTTTTCTTCCAAGGAGCAAGCGTCTTTTAACTTCATGGCTGCAGTCACCATCTGCAGTGGTTTTGGAGCCCAAGAAAATAAAGTCTCTCACTCTTTCCATTGTTTCCCCATCTGTTTACCATGAAGTGATGGGACCAGATGCCATGATCTTAGTTTTCTGAATGTTGAGTTTTAAGCCAACTTTTCACTCTCCTCTTTCACTTTCATCAAGAGACCCTTTAGTTCCTCTTTGCTTTCTGCCATAAGGGTGGTGTCATCTGCATATCTGAGGTTATTGATATTTCTCCCAGCAATCTTGAGTCCAGCTTGTGCTTCATCCAGCCCAGCATTTAGCATGATGTACTCTGCATATAAGTTAAATAAGTAGGGTGACAATATACAGCCTTGACGTACTTCTTTCCTGATTTGGAACCAGTCTGTTGGTCCATGTTCAGTTCTAACTGTTGCTTCTTGACCTGCATACAGATTTCTCAGGAGACAGGTCAGGTGGTCTGGTATTCCCATCTCTTGAAGAATTTTCCACAGTTTGTTGTGATCCACACAGTCAAAGGCTTTGGCATAGTCAATAAAACAGAAGTAGATGTTTTTCTGGAACTCTCTTGCTTTTTTGATGATCCAACAAATGTTGGCCATTTGATCTCTGGTTCCTCTGCCTTTTTTAAATCCAGCTTGAATATCTGGAAATTCACCATTCACGTACTGTTGAAGCCTGGCTTGGAGGATTTTGAGCATTACTTTGCTAGCTTATAAGATGAGTGCAATTGTGCAGTAATTTGAACATTCTTTGGCATTGCCTTTCTTTGGGATTGGAATGAAAACTGACCTTTTCCAATCCTGTGGTCACTGCTGAGTTTTCCAAATTTGCTGGCATATTGAGTGCAGCACTTTCACAGCATCATCTTTTAAGATTTGAGATAGCTCAACTGGAATTCCATCATCTCCATTAGCTTTGTTCATAGTGATGCTTCCTAAGGCTCACTTGACTTGGCATTCCAGGATGTCTGACTCTAGGTGAGTGATCATGCCATCATGGTTATCTGGGTCATGAAGATCTTTTTTGTATAGTTCTTCTGTGGATTCTTGCCACCTCTTCTTAATATCTTCTGCTTCTGTTAGGTCCATACCATTTCTGTCCTTCATTGTGCCCATCTTTGCAGGAAATGTTCCCTTGGTATCTCTAATTTTCATGAAGAGATCTCTAGTCATACTATAGATGCCTAATAAGTATTGGTAGGGGTAGGGAGATCAATCCCCTGACCCACAGTGCTCTGGGCAGGAGTTACCCCCGAACCTGCACCTTCACTCAAGTTCAAAAATCAAATCAGGAGAGGGGACTTCCCTGGTGGTCCAGTGGCTATGACTGTGTGTTCCCAATGCAGGAGGTCTGGATTTGATCCCTAGTCAGGGAACTAGATCCCACACGCCACAACTAAAAGTTCGCGTGCTGTAACTAAAGATCCTGCATGCCGCAACTAAGAACTGACATAGTCAAATAAATAAAAATTAATATTAAAAAAGCTTAAAACCAGAGGACAGGGAGCCCTTCCCCCAACTTCTTGGCTGCCCCCCATTTCAGTTTCTCCCAAATATGAGCCAGTCAGACAGCAGACACAGGGCTCTGTGGTTGAAGGAGCCAGGACTCTATGCCTAACACAGCTGCATTAAGGAGGCATGACCTCGGACCAGGCTTTTCACCTCCTGTGGACTCAGTTTCCCCATTTGGAATATGGGGTGAGATCCAGCATGCAGTGTGTGAGGTTGGTCACTGGCCTGGTATATGGTGGGTGATTGATAACTGTGTCACACTGTTAGTTATTATGATTTCTTGGTGGAGCTTAGACTTTGGACTCTTCTCTCTTGATTGTGATCTCAGATGGGTCTCTGGTCCTCTCAGAGCCTCGTTTTTCCCCATCTGGAGGATGGGGCTGTGCACACCAACCAGAGGCCAGCTTCTCTTGTCCAGCACCTTAGCTCCTGTGAGTTAAGCTGGCAATGATGAGTGGGCCTTGGTGGGTTCTGAGAAGAGGGTCCCTTGCCCCATGAAACACTCAGAGCAACATTTTATTCATCAAAAGGACTTTTACTAAAAGGATCTATTGGGGGGATAATGGATAGGGAGGGTGCCTGTGTGGAGTTTGGGTTAGGTGACAGCTGAGGGTCTGTGGCCCTCTCTGCTGAACACCTGGACGTTGGGCACCCCCATCCCACCCACTGGCCTGAAATCACCATAGCCAGAACTGAAGGCACCCAGAAACACACCTCCTGTCTCTAAAAAAGCCCAAACCCCCTTCCAAGGACAGGGCTGGCTGGGCATGTAAACAGAGTCTTGGGGGGGGGGGTCCCATGGCCCCCTCAGTGTTGCTTCTCATGTTTGGCTGGGGGCCCAGGAGGTGGGCGTAGGAAGAAGGCGGGGCGCCACAGGCAACGGAAGGCCAGCAAGTGGGGGCCCAGAGCATACAGTAGGTTACACACGAAGAAGCTGGTCCAGGCATCCTCAGGCACACGGTAGGTGAAGGGCGTGCGCAGGTGCATGGAGGCCCCCATGTGTGAGAACTGTGCCTGGCAGCCAGAAAGGGAGGATGGGTGTCACAGGCCAGAGGACCAGTCCCAGCATCGCCAGCATCCTACCATGGGGAACCCGAAAGTTCTTCATCCCTATCTCTCTGGTCCTGCTGACCTGTCTCCCCTCTTCAATCCCTCTGTCTCTAAGCATCCCTGTGCCCCACATGTCCTGTCTATTCTTATCCATTTATCTGTGAGCCTCTGCCCAGCTGCCTAACCAGAAACATCTTCACTCTGTCTGCTGGACCCCTCACCCCATCTTTCTGACCTGAGTCTAGCCCCTCCTCCTGGTCTTCCCCACCCCAGGCAGCCTTGACACAAATCCTCTCAATTCTACCTGTAATAGATAAAATAATAATACATCTAATCGAGGTCCTCCTGATCCCACTGCCCTGGCCAGGGTCCAGCCTTTATCACTTCCCATCAGAAACCCAGAAACATGCCCCCAGCTCTGAACCCTCCACTGCTCAAACACTTTCTATGGTTCCTCATTGTCCTCAGCACAAGCTCCCAAGCCCAGATTTCAAAGCCCTTAGCATCTAGCTGTCAATTTATCTTGCCGCTGCCTTTACCCACGTTATAGCTGTCTAAATCACTGTCCCCCTCTGTGCATTTCTTTATGCTGTTCCCATTCCTGGAATGCTGTTCCCTGCCTAAAGAATTCATACCCATACATCAAAGCCCATGCCCGCTCTTTTAAGAACTCTGCCTCTCTGGAATCCCTCTCAGCTTCTTTACCCCTTGGGATGGGGTATCTGTCTGGCCCATTTTTCTTCCCAACACTAGGAAATCCTGGGAGACTGTCAAGGGCCTGGCATCACCCAGGATGAGCACAAAGGCAATTGATGAGCAGGCAGAGACTCTCTCTCCTAAGCACCAGCCCAACACACCCCAACCCACCCCACCTCACCTGGCCAATGGCTCCAGCAAATACCAAGGCCCAGTCAGGCAGCCAGGAGCATCCAGGAAAGATGAGGGCATAGATGGCCAGGCCATAGAAAGGCAGCACATAAAACATATTCACCAGCATCTGGGGGGCACACGACTGATGGAGTGAGTAGCTGCTCAGTTAGGTCTCCTGATGTCCCTCAGGTGGTGGCCCCTGGGAGGATCTGGCCAGCCTCAGACTCTATCAAGATTGGGGTTCACTGTACACCCCACCCTTGTGGAAATTACTCCTTTCTTTCCCTTGGGTTTTACCCCTACACCACTCTCACACACTGAGCCCACCCACCTTCCTCTATATGTAGCATGTGACCCTGGCCTGGTCAATCAGAACATCCCACCTCCCTGGCCATAATAATCAGCTATGAGCATGTGACTTAAACTTGGCCAATCAGAGCCTACTTGAGACTTACACTTAAGCACTGAGGAATTAAGGGCTCGGCCTCCTCTGAGGTGGCTAAATAGGGAGAATGGAAGCCTAGCGCTACCCAAGGCTGTCTCTGCCATCCCACAAAGGCACCACCTGGGGGTGGGGCACATGCACAGAAAGCAGAGCCTGGAGATGGAGCTGGCTTTGAGCTCCTGGATCCAGCCATACCTGAAGACCACATCTGTGATTTTTTTTTTTTGGGGGGGGGGGTAGGACAATAAATTCCATTTGTGCTTCAGCCAGTTTGACTTGTGTTGCTTTGGCCCCTGCATCCAAGGGGCCCAGCAGGCCCTCAAGCACAGCAGGGCCGTGGCCCTCCCCCCACCTGCCCTCTCACCTGCACCTTTGGGTAGCTCACGGGGTCTCTCAGGTATGGTTCATACTGATAGATGTAGACAAAGCAGGCATCCATGGGGCAGTCAAGTACCACCTGGGACCCACGGACAAACCAACAGCCTCAAACATCCCTCGCATAGGGATACTTCCCCACCCTCCTGGGAGGGGCCCACAGCCCCTGCTCTGGCCTGCCCCAGCCTTGGTTTTCTCCTCTGAGAACCCACAGATACTTGAGCTGGGGAGAAGGCTACAGGGAATGGGACTTTGTGATGGAACGCTCAGATTAAACTCAGTGAACTTCCCTGGATGATTAGGTGGGAGAGCAGTGGCCTTTTTCCGCACTGGATAAAGAAGTTAAAGAAGGGAGGGATGGGCTGGGGAGGGGACTGGAGGCAAGTAGGCTGGCCAGTGCAGACTCACCAGGCCCCGAAAGAGGGTGAAGAATGCAGCGAAGATGAGGTAGATGATGAGGGCCAGGTCAACTGGGCGCCGCAGAAGGCCCTTTCTTTGGGCCTCCTCCACCTGCCCCATAAGAAGCAGCATGAGAAGTCTGGTATCCAACAGGCACTCAGTGAAGGCTCATCCCTTCTTCCCTAATCACCAAGGAGATCTTTCCAAGGAGATAATATCCTTGGCAAGAAGCAACCTAAATGGGGGACGTTCAGGCATTTGGGACAAGGCTGACCTGGGGGCAAGAGACTCACCATGTTGGGAGTGCAGCAGGTTGGCACCTGGGTCTGGCTGAAGACCCTCAAGCCAGCCCAGCATGGGACCAGCACGAAAGGAACAGTGAGGAAAAATGTAGGCCTGATCTCTGAACTGTATTTGCCTGCCATGGTAGGAGAGACAGGGTGTCACGAAGCGAGGATCTCCCAGGCCTGGTTGGACCCTTTAGCAGGGCCATGTCAGAGCCCCTGGCTGGAAGCTGTTGAGTCACAAATGCCATCTTAGCTCAGCCCTAACACCTCTGACTCCCCAGTGTTTGTAAGATGATGACCATGCTCCTCAGCCTGGCCTTCCTCAATTTACCTTCGGGACACGGCGCCTACACTTCAGCTGTTTTTTGTTCCCCCTGGAAACACCCTGGATATTCCTCTTTCACAGCCACCCCCACATCCCTGGCTGCCTTCTCTGCTCTGTCTCCCAAGACCTGCCTACAAAGCTGTCAGTCTGCCCTCTGGATCCACTTTAAGATTCCCTTCTCATGTCAAGAGCATTCTGGGCTAAGTCCCTGGGGTAAGGGACCACTACCTAGGGAAGAAGTGGAATGTACTTCCATTCCTCCAGGAGGAAAATGGGAGAGATGTGGGGAAAGTCTGCCAACTTAGACTGTGAATGGGGAGGCATGCAGTTGGCGGGGGTGCGGGGCTGCCCTCCGCAGACACTGGAAAAGGTATGGAGGACCCTGTGGGGACTTCCAGATGCAGGGCAGTGACCCAGCCCAGGGAGACAGGATTCTGAAGAGCCAAGTCCTTACCAAGGATGTTTCCTGGGAGGAACACTAGGATGCTCATGATGAAGGACCCCAGCCAGTAAAGTCCAAGGTTCCGGTAACTCTTCCTGGTCAGGAGATGGAGGAGTAACCAGTAGATACATGTTACCCAGTCTCAGAGCCCCAGGCAGGGTCCAGAGACCAATCTGGGCTCCCCAGGTCTGGACCCCTTGACTTTCACCCAAGACAGAAGGGACAACAGGGAATTGAATGAGGGAATGAAGAGTCAGACCCTATGTCCCAGGATAGCAGTGGCTGCCCAGGTACGGGGTGTCACAAGAGAAGAGAATCGACCACCCCGGACCCCTGTGACATCCCCTGAATCCTTCTCCTAGCCTTCCTGTCTAAGCCCTAGAGGGGCTTCCTGATTTCCCCTACAATACTTCTGGCTTCACCCTGGCCTGGGACCTCCCACCTAAGAACTCCGCCTCCTTCCCAGCGTCCAGGTGCCACCCTGCCCGCCTCGCACACCTTTTACGGATGGCACCAGTCATGGCCAGGTAGAGGAGGTAGTGAACGATGCCATCCCAGTAGCAGATGAAAACTCCATGCGCCGTGCGCAGGTAAGGCTCACCCTGCAGGGGCAGGTGTGGGGCTCAGACAGGCAGTAGGACTGCGGGCATCCCAGACAGCTCCCGACTTACCTCCTTGGTGTAGAACGCCATGAAACCCGCCATGTAGCCGTCTTCCTGGAGAGCAATAAGGAGGTCCACCACGGAGGTGAAGGCGAAGACCGCGAAGACTATGGGAGAGCAGGCGGGGCATTGGCAGTGTGGGGGCGGGGCAAATATTAGGTGTGGGCGGGGCCTGAGAGCTCTTTTTCGGGACTCAGTTTCCCAAAGCCTCTGTGCAAAACTGCTCCCAGGCCCAACCCCACAAATCACATGACCCACAACCCTTCCTCATAGGGAGGCACAGTCCTTGCCTTAAAGGTGTCCACAGGTTGATGAGAAAGGCACTGTTCTGGCACTCAGGAGCCCCAAGTCAGAAGCGGGAGGCGCCCTGAGATTCCCCAATCAACAGGGGGTCTCCAGTCTCTCTGAGGTTCTCCAGGCTGATGAAAGCCCTTCAAGGACTGCCACTCTGATGCAGGAAGCCCTTGCCCAAACAGTTCTCTTCCCCAGGACCCTCCCACCAACTCACCAGCATAGAGCGGGTCATAATAGATGTCACTTCGGGACAAGCTGTATATTGCCAAGGAGAGCAGACCCAGGATCAGGGTGCTCATCAACACCACCCCCAGGGGGCTGTGGAGAGAAAAACCAAGTCAGGGAGGCCAGGCCCATTTTGAGACCCTATAGCACCCTGGTGAGGGCAAGAGCAGACTCCAGGAAGCTCTAGGTGACCAGGCTGAAGCTCCTGTCCATCAAGGAAAGCCATTGCCTGAAACTCCCATTTCCCAGCACCAGGCTCTTGCTCCAACTGTTTCTGACCCACCGCCTCAGTTCAGCTCAGTCGCTCAGTCATGTCTGACTCTTTGAGACCCCGTGGACTGCAGCATGCCAGGCTTCCCTGTCTGTCACCAACTCCCAGAGCTTGCTCAAACTCATGCCCATTGAGTCGGTGATGCCATCCAACCATCTCATCCTCATGCCCCACCCCCTAACTCCTTCCAAAAGTCTTTTCACTTGGCAAAGTCCTATTCATCCTTCATGGCCCATCTACATTGCTCCTCTTCCAGGTACAGAGGGAACCTCTGTCAACCCCTTCTGACTATGTGATTTATCCGGTCACCTGCTGATGCATCAGCTTGCTTATTCATTCAACAATTCCAAGACCCTCTGTGGTCACTTCCAGTGCTCACAACCACCAAAGGGTCTCTAGAGCTTAGATCTGTACACCTCACTGTCTGAAGCTCCTGACGCCTCCCTGATAAAGTCCAAATGTTTCCATAAGCCCCACCCCACCCCTGCCCTGATCTGTTCCTATCAACCTGATAAGGCAGGCAACCACCTATAGAGATAATAGAAGCGAGGTTTCTGGGCAGCCCCCAACACTTGGCAAACCAAGGACCAGAGAGCGTGGGAGACATATCCAAGGTCACATATTCTCTCCTTACACTCTCTCCAGATCCCTACCTTCTCCCAACCCCTTAGGATCCCCATTCTTGGCCCCATCCAACCAACAATGATGATTATAGTCATTAGCTGAGGCCACAACAGCGTCTTGGCACACAGTTCATAATCCTTGACTATAGCTATGGAATGAGTCTAGGATTATGTCTATTACACAATGAAGAAACCGAGGCTCCCCGGGGCAACCTGGCTCACTCGGAGTCCAGGGGGTGGAACCAGAAATTTGTACCCAAGGAGCGAACTCTGCAGTCAAGAGTCCCTCTACCCCATGTCTCGGGCTGTGTTGGTTTTGGGGGTATGAGGGATTGGTCGATGGCTGGTATTCAGTGGCTGGATTCACCGGGTTGAGGCCTGGGGTTAGGTGACAGGGACAGGGGAGGTGGAGGCATGGAGGGGAAACTGAGGCTATGTACAGGTTGGGCCAGCCCCTGAAGAGAAGAAAGTTTCAGACAGCCGACGGAGGAACGGTCTGGTAGGGGTAGTGCAGCAGAACTTGTGTGTGGCAAGAACCGGGTCACTGGGGCCTTATCTGGAACAATACTTTGACCCTTGGCGACTTTGGAGTCTGTGCTGGGCATATCCCTGGGAAAACTCCAGAAACCTTCCAAAACCCTGCCTTGTTAGGGGCTCTGTTTCTCAAAGTCCCTCCCCCCAGGCCCTCAACGTCCTAGGAGCGCCCCCAGCTCCACCACACTGCTCCAGCCGGCTGGAAAGGTATTTCCGGTTGGAAGCGAGGGGTTCTCCTGACCCAGCCGCCTTCTCCCCCGGCCCGCGGCGCGGGGCCGCTCGGCTCAGGGGAGCTCGCGCATCCGCATCCCGCCCGCTTCGCACCCTCACACGCCAACCCGGCCCCGCCGCCCCAGAGGAGGCCTCCCCGGCCCCTTCCCGCACGCACTACGAGAGCACGGAGACATAGTTGAGCGCGAAGGACAACGGGAGGGCGCCCAGCGATAGAACAGCGATCTTGCCCGCCAGCGGCGGGATGTCCATAGCGGCGACGCCGGGACCCCGGCTCGGTTCCTGCGTTGGCTGTGCCTCTGGGCGCCGAGGTGCCAGGGACCCAGCCAGACTCGGCCCCGCCTGGCGCAAAGGTCGCCCCCCTCCACCCCTCCACCCCCGCGCCGCGGTGATTGCCCCGCGAGCTCCCGGGCAGCCTCCGAGGGCCCTCCCTCTCCCAGCGGCCCCTCCCCTCCATTGATAGCCTCGTCGGACTAAGGGCAGCCCCTGCCGCCCAGCCGGTTTCGCTTTCTACTAATGCTAATTAGAACACAATTCCTCAGAATGCTTCCATTTCTGCGTCCTGGAGGCCCTCGGCCAACAACTTCACTCTAACTGGAGTTCGTTCTCCAGGCCTCGTTCTGCACTCCTTTCTTCACCCTAAGGTGCAGGCGTCCCATCCTTGACTCCGACCCCGAAGGGGAGTCCCTTTTTAATTCTTCACATTTCCCAGACCTCCCTCGAACCCAGGATCAAGTGGGTTTCTGCGTTTCTGCGCACTGGCAGAGAACCTTACCCGCCTGGGTGCAGAGTTCCCTTTAGTGCCCTGGGATTTGAGTTTTCATGCGATGGCCTCAAACAAATTTAAACACGTGTCCAGGTGTGAAGTTTTGACTGGACCCCGGGGGTAGGGGTCAGGGGAGGGCATCTCAAGGCAGACTGCCTTGGGTTGGCGACACCTTGAAGGGCTCGCTGATTCTCTACTGTGTTTCTTCCTTCTATGCTGAACACGGGCTAACGCGGGCGGGTCGGAAGGGCGGGGCCCAAGGGGCGGCTAAGGATGGTGAGGAGTTCGATGATGGTGTTCCTGGCAGGAAGAATAGCTCAAGCTTTGGACTGAGCAACAGAAGGGAGACCCTAGGGCTGGGGCGGTGGCGGAGGTTCACAGAGCAACTTGGGGTGGGCGTGGGAGGGTTCTGGACAGCTGGGAGGAGGGTGGGCTCCATCATGGGGCAAACGCAAGGGGGCAGAGGTGGACGAGGGAGGGGGTTGCAGGATGGAGGGAGAATTAGGAAGCAGCAGTCTATCAACCCTTCCAACTAGCCTGGATTCTTGCCCATGTGGTGCTTGTGGCTGCAGGAAGTAGGGTAAGCAGTACCCACTTGATTCCTGTCCCAAGGAAACCTACAGTCTTTTTTTTTGGCTGCACCATTAGGGCTTTGGGACTTTAGTTACCTGACTAGTGACTGAACTTGGGGCACAGCTGTTGAAGTGCAAATTTTAACCACTGGACCACCAAGGAATTCCCTGGGGTAAAATTCTAACCCTCACATCCCCCACCCCCTGCTCCTGTCCTAGCCAGGGCCCTATCTCCACAGGCCAGCTGGGTCCCCTCTCTGAGCCTGGGTGACAAGATGATCTTTGGCCACTGACTCAAAACCTTCCTTTCTCAGGGGCCTGTTCCCCTTGTGAAGTTCAGGTTCCTGTGGGCTGACCTGAATCTCCGGCCTCCTTTCTTGACCTTTCTCAATTCCAGTGGTTTCAATTCCCTACATGCCCCTCTCCTGTCTGCAAGATGGACCCTCTCCTATTTCCTCACCTCTTAAAGCAGGCTGCAGGGTCCCATCTTCCAGGCAGCTCACCCTGTCACCCCAGCCCCACTTTTACCCCTGGAGGGCCAGGGGTCTGCTCTTACACCCCGTATCTGGGAGATGCCTACACATCCCCCCGGGCATTTGGAGGCCTCCTCTTCCAACTCTCCCCCCTGGCTGGGGCTAAAGTCCATGGTCTGAGTCTGGTGATCCTTTTGGTCACTGAGAATTAAATGGAGAGGTGACCTTGACCTGGAGAGCAAGGTGTTAGGGACCAAACCCCAGGGTTCTCGTCGCTGGAACCTCTGGCACCCAGAACTTCACCCTTGTGCTCAGGACTCTGGCTACCTGGGCAGGCTCCATGTCATCCCTTGCCTTGCCCTGGGAACAGCATCCATGGAGGGGAGACAGGGTAGTGTGTATCACTCCAACCAGAGATCTGCTGCTGAGATCCCCAGATTCCCTCACTGAGACATTCCCCAGACCACCTCCACCGCAGGTCCCAGTCCCTCTTTACAGCATTCATCAGTCTCAGATGATGTTAGGGGTCCATGACCACAGCCCAGCAGAGTATGGGTGCCCAGGGCAGATCCTGTCCACCTGGTTCAGTCAGTGTTCAGTGTCTGCTGAACGACTGTGTGAACTGCAGGCCGGCCCAGGAGCCTGATGCCAGCTTGAGTCCTCAGACCCCCTGAGCCCACAGGGGCTGAGCAGGACCCACTGTATGGGGCAGGGGGGTGAGTTACAGGGCCCCCAGTGCCCAAGGCCCTGATATTCCAAGCATAGCTCACAGATTTTGGAGACCTTGCCCAAGTTGCTCACCCAAGACCCCCAGGTGATTTCTGCACAAACATTGAGGCACCGGCTCTGGAGATGGGGTGAGCTCTCGGCGTGCACTGTGGTCTGGGGTGGCCACTAGCCTCCCCTCTTCCAGGAGGCGTGTGATGTCCCAGTCCAGTGTGTCTGCGCAGGAAGCCGTCTCCCAGAGGCATGAGCCTGAGGGACCTGTACGTCCACCCTACTCTGGGGATGCAGGGCAGCCGGGATGGCTTGGGCGACAGCATCACCAGCCAGGTCTGCTGTATGCGCCGTGGCTGGGAGGCCCTGCCAGTGCCACCTGTCGAGAGGGGAGGGGCACAGGTGTGCCAGGGTCCACCTGCCTTGTGGGTCTGAGTGAGAACTGGGCCTGCCTGGGATGCCCTCCTGTGGTACAGTGCCAGGCTAGGAGGCCCCTTAGGCCCTCAGCCTAGGTCTCCTTGAGCTGCTGGCCACTCCTCCAAAATTCCTCTCCTCAACTCCAACCCAGGCTGATGGGGGACCCCATGAGCAGACAAAGGCCCAGGTGATTCCCCAGGATTCCCTGGGCATTGGGCAGCCGTCACAGGTGGATCCTGTGCCCCCCGTCCACCCTGGCCCCTGCTGCTAAGGAACAGGAGCAGTTTCTGGTGATGGCAAGACCAGGCTGCCACAGCAGGCAGGCTCTGGGGTTTTAATACACAGCACAACACTCGCAACAACAGGAAGGGCGGGCAGAAATGCAGGCTGGAACATTCCACAGTCCAGGGATGGTCAGTCTTTTGGAAAGTACACTTGTGCATTTCTCCAGAATACTCAGTAGTAAGGCCGTCTGGGGTTGTTCTGTGGGAAGCAAGAAAGATAAAACGGGAGGTGATTATGCTAAAAGGAGACAGCAGTTCCTCCCATCCAGAACCTACCAGGAGCAGCTAGCTCACATCCTCCAGGAGGGTGGGCAGGCCTTGGGGAGGAGACACAACTTGAGCACAAGTGGAAGAGGGGGAGGTGGGTGTGCTGATGAGCCTAGCTGGACTGTGGAGGAGGGACACTTGTCACCAGCACCCCCCCTCCAGTGGGGGACTTGACCCCGCAGAGACAAGGTGGGCTGTCACCAGGACCCCTTCCAGTGGGGGAGCTGTGGTGACCCCACAGAGACAAGACAGGGCACGGGGACACGCACCAGGGGGTTGGGCCGGAAGCGGTAGGCCAGCATCATCCTCTTGCGGAAAGCCTCGTACTCGTCATCTTCCTTGGAGAGCTCGGCTGGCCGGTCAATGCCAAAGCCAGCCCCGTCTACCGTGGTGGTGCCCCTGCATTGGGGCAACGGGTGGGGTGAGCAGGGGAGCAGGATGGTGCCAGCGGACAAGGGGGTGAGGGGCCTGAGCCTGGGGGCAGAGAGGCCTCACGCGCCCTGGATGGGCTCAGCAGCAGCGCCCCAGTGCAGCTCAGTGCGGGGTACGCTGGGCTGGGCAGCACCTGTCTGCAACACACTGGCACTCTGAGCAGATGGAGCCCGAGGCGGTCCCGCCACGAGTCCACGGCCCTGACCTACGTCTCTGCGCGGGGCTTCTCCTCTGCCCGCCCCCCGCACTGGTGGCCACACTTACTTGTTGACGGGGTTCTTGATGCCCTGTCCCTCCGAGCCCAGGCCGTCCCCCTCCTTCCAGCCCATCTTCATCAGCATCTGGTAGCCGATGTTCTCGATCGTCAGCTTGAACTCCTTGTACTCTGAGTAGTCAGGCTCACGGCCTTCCTGCAGGGGAGGAGGTGGCCGTCATCCACCGGGGCTGCAGCCACCCCCAATCCCAGCTCTGGCCCAGAACCCCCCTCTACCCCATGGCCTCTGGGACCACCTGCCCCTCTGCCTCCCCACCACCATGTCAGACTCTTTGAGAAAAGATCAAGCTGCCCCCTGTCAGGGTCCCTGGGGCCAGAAGCAGTGCTGAGTTCCCTGGTGGCCAAGTCAAAGAGGGCAAGATGACAGGTCACACAGGTCTTGACCACCATGAGAAAGATCCACGGTTCACCAGCGAAGACAAAGCTCATGTTCCAAGAGCCATTTGTTACACAGAGCGCTCAACAGAAGCCATGATCAGTAAGGTGACCACCTCACTGATGAGGTGAGGTGCTACAATGCAGTTTTACAAAAGCCCTCAAAAGCCGACGTGGAATGTTCTACATCAGCTCTCTCCACTCGAGCACGAAGGCAGCTCGGGAGGAATGTTTTCATTCTGGAGAGCCCAATACGTGGGGGTGTCTGCCTGAGAAATTGCCTGTAATCTGCACTTAATTGGCTCCACTGGAAGCAGAATTTCCCTAAAGTCCTGGGAAGCGTTTCTAAAGTGGCAACTGAGCTGCTATTTGCCAACGTCCTACACAGATGGCATCTGTCACAAGTAGACACCTCTCCTGGAAGAGGGCTCAATGTCCCCTGTGAGCCAGGGGGCCTGAGGGCACCACAGGTGCCTGCCCCAGGAGGAGGCTGCAGCCCGGGCTGATCCCCGTTACCTTCAGGGCCTTGAAGGTCTCCATGAACTTCTCCAGCTCATCCGGTGGCAGGAAGTCCCCGATGAAGTGTTTGCCCCGGCCCATCTTTGTCAGCTGCTCCGCCCATTCTGCCCAGAGATGGGGTAAAGGTGAGAAGAAGGAGCGGGTGGCAGCCCCACA